CAATTATACAGCGATCTGGCGTGCGGAAAATGCCATTTAACCACGTCACACGGATTTTAGAGTAATCGGATGTTTTCGGAGATATTTAACATTTGCCATTTCTGACGGTCATGTCATGTCATGTGTTGTTCAAGTAGAATCTGACCACTTTATTACCAAACCTATAGTTTTTCCGAAGGTACCACTTTGAACAAGCCACTTCTGGGTTGGGGTCCACTTGGGCCCAAATATGCGACCCCCAACATTTTTTTTCCATAGAAAAAAGCATGGAAAGATGTCCATTTTTTTTTCAATTTTTTATAGCAAAAACTAAACAGTAATATATCTTCTACACTAGTGGTCTATTATGAGGTTAAATAATGAAATACATAGTTCTAAGGCGACGATTATACTGGATAGGAATGAGCTCACGTCACTTACGAACACAGTAAAAGCCTTATCGATTCTACCTCAAAGACTTATTTTTTGGAAACATCATCTGGATTCAATATGTCGTATTGTTAAAAGGAGAAATCAAATGGGGGAAACAAAAAGGAGAATTTGGCATTTTGTTTAAGGAATTGAGAAGAAATGATGAAATTTTTTTGAATACACGAGAATAGCAAAATCCACATTCAAAAATCACATCTTAAAGCAGTCAAAAAATGTATCTAAAAATATATTTTTTTTCATAGTTGGTCAAAATCATTACCTTCAGGTGGTTGATCTTTGAGAATCCCAGGCACCCCTCGTGCTTTGTTCATCCCATTCTTTTACTAACCTAATTAATACCTCGCCATTTGTGTTTTGAAAACTGTCAAAATATTCGCACACAACAAAATTTCAAGCAGTCGTACGGATACTGTCATAAAAAGAAAATATTTTGGTCGTATTGAGGTGTCGTAAGAATTCGTAACAGAAAGTCGTAAGCAATGTAACCAGAAATATGCCAATCAATACAGGCATTTGTTTAAATATCCGTAAATATTTTGTGACACATTTATCACGTTTATTTACTACCGCCAAAGTACGACGACCTATTTCACTATTACGTCGTTCCGTGCGGATCACATCCGTGAACTACGGGCACAGGCAATAATTTAGTAAATTTCAGAACCAGTTACCCGAGATCAAAGAACCTCTTCGTATAGCTGTGACCACGACAGATGATTCAAAGGCCTGCCTCTTCGACGACGTTCGTTTACTCGCATTCCTACGGACCCTTATTTCATTCTTCGAAGTTCTTTGTTGTTATTCACCGGCGGAATTTAGGATAAGCGTGGGTTTTGAGCCGAGTTGGTAGCCTACGACGCGTCGGTCGACCGGAGTCGAAACCAACAACCAGAAAACTTATAATTTATTTAAAGCATAATCTGGTGGCATGGAAATCACATTTTGTACTTACCTGTCGCAACATTTGATTTTTTTGTAGGAACATTTCATTCTGAACTTTTTGGTTTTTCCAACCAGTCTTTTTTGATATATAGCTATCATCCTTACATGAAAAAATACTTTCAAATTTGCAAATGGCAAACTGGGAAGCTTCTATACTATTTACAAATCTTCTGGATTCCTCCTGTGTAGCTTGTTTCGCTGTTGGCTCCGCGTCCTCAAACAATATAAGCAGATGCAGAGTACAATGCGAGTCAGTTTCAGTTAAGTGAAGTGAAGAAGCATAGAGAATGATTGGCGAAAAGTCAGCAAGTTTGATATATATATATATATATATATATATATATATATATATATATATATATATATATATATTCTCACGTATTGATTCACGGATGGAAAAATGTGATGACACTATATTCCGGGATATCATCCGTTCGCTCGTTGAACTCTGACTGGAATCCTGCATTCGACTGGAATCCTGCAAATCCTGCATCCGACTGGAATCCTGCAGACGTTTCGCCAAAATCTCACTTGGCATCTTCAATGCTCGCGCTCCGAAAGTGTTCGAAGTGTTTTCGGAGCGCGAGCATTGAAGATGCCAAGTGAGATTTTGGCGAAACGTCTGCAGGATTCCAGTCGGAGTTCAACAAGCGAACGGATGATATCCCGGAATATAGTGTCATCACATTTTTCAATCCGTGAATCAATACGTGAAAAAAAAAAAAAAAAAAAAAATATATATATATATATATATATATATATATATATATATATATATATATATATATATATATATATATATATATATATATATATATATATATATATAACCGACGCAGGAGCAATCCAGAACATTTGTAAATAGTATTACAGTAGCCTGTGGAAGTTTCTTTGAAACATTAGCTTCTGTTTCAGGGTATGAAAAACCATAACGTCTTGTGGCTTTGATAAAATATAAAGTTAATTGTTTAGTTACGGACAAATATCACCATCGAGCTTTAATTAATGATTATATGTCGAGCTAGATCTTATCATCCCATATATATTTTTCAATTTCCATTGATTGCTCGAGTTTGGAAAGTGAATAGTGACCGGAAAAAGGAAATAATACTTATAACGTATGGTCCTGCATCTAACAATGACGGAATGGTCAAAAGCAACGCTGGAATTCTATCTAAAAATGTTATTGGCATAATATCAGTAACTTATTATTGGCAAATGAAATCCCACACCAGTATTTATCGTACATGAAAAAATGTTTCCGTGCGTATATAAACGAGTTATATACCGTTGCTTTAAGCATCGAGTTTCGAGATGAGAATTAAGATGGACCGATGAACGTCTATGAAATTTTTGTTTGCATAATCCACCTTTTATTTCTGTAGGTAATTGAATGAAAATTGAATGCAATTTGCTTACACCGAGACATACAAGGATGCGTAGCAGTAAATTGCTCGTTTCGTAAAGAAGTAAAAGTAGCATATAAAAGAGGCGACACTGAAGTTCTACTTTGGCACTTCAGAACCTTAAGCTTATTAACCTTTGACACAGTGATCTAGTTATTTAGTCTACTTTGCAGTTATCGTGGGGATTAAACATATCGAGTATTTTATTTGAGAAATACGTAAGTTCTAAACAAAGCTCAGCTTTGCCTCAATTTGTATACAGGGTGAGTGGAAAAGGTGGGTCAACCCGTTTCCTTTTCGCGCAAGGTGTTTATATATACAGAGCGTTATACTTTTTAAAATATAGCATTTTTATTTACATGTCACGCAGTTTTTCACATATTGTGTTGCAACTTGGTTGCAAATTTTCATGATGGACGCTTATGGTCTTAATACTTTCGTTTACTAAACCCCTTGCTTTACATGATTTTTTTCTATTGTTCATTTTTTATAACAATTGTAGGTTTTGGAAATAATAAAGAAACCAAAGTTCACATTACTCTTATTAGTGTTATCAATTTGTAACTAAATTTTCACACAAAATACAGTTGTGTGCTTATTATTTTTTAAAATAATATCAAGGGGGTTTTAGTGGTGGAATTTTAATAAAAATGCAATAATAGTATTCGTATTTTGTCCGGTGTACAAGGTTTTTGGAAATATTTTAACCTGTCTTAGTTTTGGGTTTAAAATGTAATGAAAGTAGGTCTACTATTCTCCAGTTATTACTGTTAATTATTCACTAATGGTCATTAATTTACAATATCACAAAAACTACAATTGTTATAAAACAAATATATTTCAAGATCATAGCAGTACATTTGGGGTACAAAACACTTCCATTTTCTGCTACTATATTTTTTTTATTGACAACATTTTTAATATAATATTCCACATAATATTTTCAACAAAATATGTGAAAAACTACTATACTTATAAATAACAATGATATTTGTTAACTAATATTTTATGCCCTGTATTATAGAAACTGGGAAAATGAAGTTCAGTGAAAATCACACAAAGAATCTGCCGAGGCTGTCCTTCTTTTCGACTCATCTTGTATAATAATTTTGCATAAGTTTTTAGGATTACCTGATCTAATTTACTGCGGAACAACGTAACATAACGACTGGTTCAAAAAATCGTAAACTTGATTCAGAACCATTTTTATTTGGATTTTTTTATAAACAAATTTTAATTTCCATAGCTTCGAATTTTTGGAGTTTCTTGGAAACACCCGTGCAATAATCTAAAATAATAAGAAATTGTTTAACCAAAAGCGTGCGAAGTACAATTTAACCAACGCTGTTAAAAATGCTTCACCGATTTTGCAATTGCAATAATTTAGTATTTAATTTCAATAAGCCACTGTTTTTATCGGACTTTCGAACAAAAAAATTAAGATAATGTAAATTGGGGATACGTATTTTTATGTACATTTATTTTTTGAACCTTTGTTAAAATAATATTACTAACAAAATAATGAAAATGACCTTCATTGCACCATTTTGTAAAGATTTTTGCACAAATCTTTGGATGACAAATCCCCAGCCCAGCGTCGGCGCAGGTTTCTTGAAACACTCTGTATAATTGTTTTGTTGAAAATTAAGTATATTGCAACTATTTGCCGCCGAACAATTGCGATTTTTAAAATCAAATCCTCGCCAGCCATTTATATTTTTCGTAGGTGGAGATGCGGTCGATTGTATTCGTCTGCCGTATCCGGCGCATATAATTTCCGGTTCGGTATTCTATATACGAGAGGTTTTTGACTGCTCCGCATTTTGATATCGGGCTGACGCACAATGGCGGACCAAAAAGAGGATGTTCCGCCCGAGTAACGTCGCCGCGTGACTAAAAAATCCTCATTTTGTCTGACAGAGTCGGGCTGTAGCGGATCGATTGTATTAGTTTTTTGTACCGAATTCTAGTCGTTTGGTAGCAGATATACAGGGTATTCAAAAAGTACGCTCTCGAGTAGCTTTAAATGCCAATTTGTTGGCGATATGATGACGAAAAATTGACAAAAATGCATAGAGCACAGCACAAAGTTTACAAACATCTGTTTTTATATGCCATGACTAAATGGTCCACAGTAATAAAACAACAGGGCGACCAATCAATAAATTATACGATTCCAATGGTTTGGCAGTTCTTTATTGTTTTTTTTTTACTTTTCAGCGTGATGGGATGATCGGATTGCAAGAGTGCGGACCCGCGCCGCCGAGGGCGCCATTGTCGGCGAGCAGGGCCCGCGAGAGGACTGCTCAGGCCGTAGACTACTACAATACTCATGTTCACAGGTATCCGCTCAGCTAATGTATCTACAAGGTGTTTTTTAATTGAATGTCAATAAATGAGGGCGCGATTTTTGGGTCCATTTTAAAATGAAAACTTTATATGAACATATGCCCTAAACGTCTTAATTTTTAAGATACAGGGTGGGGTAATACCACTTTAGATATTTTAATGAAATTTGGTGCACATGTAAGGCATTATTTAGTAAAAGTACATCAGTGGCGGGCGTACAGAATTTCACCTGTCTATTTTGACAAACATTAAATGTACGCCACTGATTTTTAGTAAAATAAAAATTATTCATACAATCTTCTTCATTTTTTCAATCCGATGTACGATTCTCGCTTAAAAAAATAAAAACCTTGTTTTATTGATGAAAGACTTCCACATGGTGATGGTTTGGTTATGGTTTTGAGCGGTACATTACGGAAATCGTGGATGATGATGATTTAATGATGACACTGTGAGTGAAAATGGCATTTTTATGCACGATAATGCTAGACCCCACACCGCTAGAATTTTCAGTCAATATCTGGATTGGGTGAGAATTAGGCGGTTTGATTGGTCAGCACTTATTCGAAGACATACACCAGCTCCAAGAAGTGCTCAAGGGCTGAAAGAGTTGATAATGCATGAATGGAACAACATTGGCCAGAACGTAAGCCGTAATTTAATTCAAATCATGTCTTGTCGATTACAAGAAATCATAAACGCAAGAGGAGGGAATACATGTTATTAATTTTCAGGTTTTCTCAATATTGTTAATTGTGATTTGTTCCTTTATTTATCAAGAAAAAATTAATTGGGCTTTGTTTATAATAGATATTTTCTGTTTTCCGACAAAATCATAAAAATGTTAAATTCAGTTAACCAAATAGGGTAGGATAAATAATTTATCAGCTACTAGGTCAACGATTTCGTGATAAACTTTTTTTCCAAAAAATTTGCAATTTCTTGAGTGACCTAAATTTTTTGTTCGCCAGGGTATATTATACAGAGTGTCTCACGGTTGATGGAACATTAAACGTTGTGTGTGTACAAATTTACTGAAAATTTGGTCACATAGGCTTTTGACCCTTTTTTGACTATCTCAAATAATTTCATTTCAATAAAAAAACTTTTTGCTCATTCTTCGTAAGACGGTTCATGATTTTGTAAAAACCTTTGAAACCGCAGAAGTACATCGGATACTGACAATTGTGACCAGCATTTAGGCGTTCTAACTATTTAACCAACCCATCAGCAATGAGAATTGAAATTGGAGAGTGGTAGCGGACAGAAAAATAATAACTGAATAACTGAATAATTCACCTTTCTTGCAGAGCGTGGGCGAACGCCGGTCTATCGACATCCAGATCATCGTTCAACGACCGGCATCATCATCACGCCGGATCAAGAAGAGGAGTTGGTAACTTGGGACCGGAACAACTGTGCAGGAGCAATTCTAGCTTGGAATTGTTGGATCAGAACGGACGACCATTCAAGTCGAGCAGTCCCACGTTGAAGCGGGAGTACGGCAGCCACGGATCTATCGACGTAATCGATAGGCCCCCGGGAGTACCCGGTACGTGCTCCTGTTTAATATTATGGTATTGCTTTTGATAGAGCGAACGCTGCTACTCTCTCTGCCATCCAACGCAATAACCGAACGTCAACTGTACTTTCGAGAACCGGAAATAACTTGGTCTATCCTTTTGAATATCGTTCGTAAATACAGTTGAAGTCTAACAGTTTAAAACTTAACTCCTTCCGGAGGGATAAAATAAAGTTGTCACTTAAACCTTCCTAACTGTGATGATTAAAAATAGTATTAATAATATATTCCGGATAATGAAACAACTTTAGTGTGGAATTTTCAGCGAAATAGACGAACAGACGTGTGCTTATCAGTACAAATTCGCAAAACGCACTCTCATTGGTCATGACGTCAGCGCTTGTAAAATCTTTACTGATTTTTTCTTTCCATAGAATTTGGTTTTTGCAAAGCTTTACTGTGTATGTCTCTCTGTATTGTTATTTGAGAAATTCCAAAAAATTCAGCTATTTTTAAGTTTAAATATATTTTATATATATATATGTTTTTCATTACTTATTTTTTTCATTAGTAAAGCCACAAAACCAAGACTTCCTTTACAAAACTAGAACTAAAAAGTAAAGTATTACAAAAAATTACATCTATCTCTCTATATTTCCAAACTATCAAACCTACAACATTTTTTAATCTTTCTTTTGCATTGCATTGAAAATTTGATATTGAAATAGTTTCTATTATTTGCTACTTTTTGGTTTTATCTGGATTTGCTTGACCAGTAAAACGTGGATTGCTGATATATTTCCATGTTTGTTCCGCAGGAAATACACAGTAGGTATTTCACTTTCATTGATTATTACTGATATTTTCTGACACGCTAATTCGCTTGTCTGGTTGACGAGTCAAAAAAATAAGTTGGTCTAATTCGAGTTGCAATATTACTCAATTTTCATTTCTAAGCTTACTAAAAAGCAAACCAAATTTCGTTTCGTCGTCCCCGGCCACTATAGTGCAATATGATGTATTCGGTAGATGATGGGGGAGGATACGAAGAAAATAAAAAATAAAGACATTGATTGTGGTGTACCAGATTGATTGTTCATAAATGATTTGGATTGTCTCTCGTTGCTTCAGTGTAAGTAAAACTCTTATCTTCTACGTTTTTATCACGGAATAACTTTACAAGGCGTTAATTTAATAAATGAAGTAGCACATTACCCAGCAATTCAGGGAAAAGCAAATTTTGTTTTAATCTTTGACATCCCGCAGTTTCGAAACTTTTTCTATCTGTCATTATCCAAATATTTTCTCTACTCATTTTACGGTACTATTAGAAAAGAAATAGGCCCATATTTTTTTTTACAAAGTGATGCTAAAAACTTTACATTCACCAGATAGACCTAGTTTATACAAAACTAAGCCAAAATTCATAATAATTATAATTTTGTTAAGCCTATCTATTAAAGTGGAGTTCTTACATCTAAAAATCATTAAGCATGATTTAGTTAGGTTTTAATGTGAGGTTCCGGCTATTCAAAAGGTCACTTACAATCAGCATCAAAGCAACAACATCATGACATCGGCAAATGTTTCTTACAGTACAGAAGAGAGTTCGAAATGTCAAATGTATAAATTAAAAAGGGTGAAAGGAAACTTTGTAGCACGGCAGAAGGTAAAGCAATTTGATTAGAATATTTGTTGGTGAGAAATTTTAAAACTTTAGTTCAAATGTGATCAAAAGGCTTCGAAAAGTCGAACAGTACTCATACGCTAATGCTAATGTTCCAAGTTTATCATCGAAAACATTTGTTAATATCACAGAAGAAGTTAATAGTTGTTATTACGCGTGATAGAATATTGAAATCATAGCTGAACAAAAAACCTTACGGACATTGCAGCCAAGAATGAGTTCTTTGAGATGCTCCAGGACTACCGACCGGCGGTATTAGTAGGAACGGATCAGAGAAGCCCCGGACCATCGGAATACCTTCGCGGAAAGGTAGATTCGGAAGTGGATCCCTGTCAAGAAGATACGGGTTCAAACAATCACGGCAACTACCCGCAAAGCCCAAAACTGAGATCGAAACTAACTCGATTTTGGAGCAACGGGAATGTCCCCAACGGTTAGTAACGTGGCTTGAATAGTAATTTTGATGATTTAAATATCAACACACTTTAGTAGAGAAATGCACATTCGAATCAAGATATTATCTTGAACGAAATCTCCTTGAGTCGGAATTTAGTAGTAAAAACTAGCTATTAGAAAAGCCAGAACTAATTTTATCTAATTGGAACGATTATTAAAGTCGAAACAAACATTTTGTAAACATTTATTATTAATGTTCAATATCAGTCAGTTCAATATTTTGTTAATATTGTTTTGATTAAGGGAGAGGTTTATTTATCTTAATATTTTGTAAATTTGGAAACACACAATCTGTGGTAAACGTTTCCTTCATTTTCCTCCTTATAGTCGGTAGTAATAATATCTAAAAAAAACTGTTGTCAAATATCAAATATTCCGACATCTAGAAATCTAAAAAAATGAAATTTTCGTTTTCGCACAGTGAAATATTTTTAGTTTTGAACATTCCATTCGTTCCATGCTCATTACTAGTGTCTACCATTTCAGTTTGTACTTTATTTTTAATTATTGTTTTATTGAAAGTGAAACTGTAGTAGTTAGCTGTGGATTGAAAAAGATGTCTCAAAAGAAGTGATGAGTATGAAGTTGATTTTAAATAAATATTAATCGCAATCAGTTTACATCGATAACCTATATAAATATCAATCATTATTAAGTAGACAGTATTTTCCCATAAAACTCTGTCATGGCAGATATTAGGAAAAAAATAAAAGCACTATTTTTGTAGATAATTGTATGATCTACAATTGAAATATGACATTTTTTGCAAAAACTTGAAAACTTTTTTTAGCACTTTATTTCTACCAGGTTACCCAAGTTGTGCACCAAAATACAGCTCTTGGGGAATTTTTGTTATTTGACGGTTATTTTTTATGTCTGATTTGATCGAATTATAATGTATGTAGCATCTAGTATGTAGTTCTAAGCATATAAAGAGAATCGATTAGCTAAAAGATTGACTCACCAAAAAGTTTACAGTGATACTCGACGGCAATCACATTATACCTGTATTGTTGGTGATCCACATCGAGCGTTATCAGATATCGCCTTTCATATTATGTGGTTTTCTCTGAACGCGAAAGATAACAAATCGTAATTAAACAGCCGTTGCACTCTTGCATTAAAGCGCAAGGTTTTATTTAGTGTGGCTCGGGTGCTTTTCTTTGACCGTCCGCGCCCGTTGTTACCTCTTGCTTTCAAAATGTGCTGTTGCGACATCGCCCATTACTATATCACTGTTTTTGTAAGATGCGACGTTGAGGCTCGAGGTAATGTTTGTTGTTTCTTTCTTCCCTGCTCCATTGCCGCTTTTATGATTTTATGAGGCCTCTAGCTAAAAAAAATGTTGTTCTAGTTTGGAATTTAAATTGGATATTGCTTTAAAAAATAATGCGTTTCATATCGTTCGCTTTTCAGTTGCTTTTATCCGACATCCGACTCTTCAAAGTTATAGGAAAATTTTATTGGTTCCAAATCCAAACATAATACAAATTGCTCTACTGATGGATGTCATTTAATAATAACTATCCTAACAATTGCCTTCGATGTAAAAAAAATCAAACCTATCCAGCATACCTACTCTAGGTTGGAAGTAAAATTGGGAATGATTGCATTGTTTTCGTATGAGGTTATTGTTTGAGTTGTGTCTGTTATGTTGATATAGTTTAAAGAAAAACAAAACAAATTTCTCTGTCGATGGATACCACTGAAATCAATCGAAATATTAAAAATTATTCTAATAATCGCTTTTGATATAAAAGGCTACTCATTTTTTGAGAAGCCTATATTGAGGTCGTTTTATTTTTTTATAAATTAATAAATGAAGAAGCTTCAAAGCAAATTTGTTTTATGCTGTAATATTAAAACAAACAATTGCAAGGAAGAATATTTTTGAACGTGCTTTGTTTTGCTGATACGAGTTGACATTGAAAACAGTTGAACTATTAGTAAATAAAATATTGACAATTTGAGGTTTAGTCTTTTCGTTCGTTGCCTTGTTTGTTTCTTTTCTAATTGTAGACTTCTAATTTGGATTTTGTGCTCTTTAGAGAGAAAGGTAAAATATTTCAAATATATACATCATTTTGGTACCATTTTTAAAATATTGCACTCTTTTTTAAAAGTTGCAAATTGTAATATTTAAACATATTTGTTATACCATAATTTTTTTTTATATTGCTCCATAACCCTTTCGTTAATTACAATTAGTTAGTTAGTAAGTTAATTAGGTAAGACCTGAAACACAACAACATATCTAAAGCTATTTACGCAACTTACGTTTAGTTAAAACCTAAAATTTCTATGTTTGTATGTATTATCGCCTAAATTATAATAAATGACCTCTGTGCGCCATATCGAAATGGTAATGGTCGTATCGGATAAGACAGATTTTTTTTTTAAATTATTTTGAAAGTCTTGTCTATGTAATTAGATTTGATGTGTTTTTATGAAATCGATCTTGTCATCGTTTCATTGATAAAATAATTAAATATCGCAAATTTTTTTCCAAGAAAATCTTTGTGTTATGTGTTTAGAAAATAAAAAAAAATTAAAATGAATAATTAAAATAATAAAAAGATCTTCAATTTCCAGCACAATTTAACAAAATACAAGAGAAAAATAAACAAAAGAAAACATTTCCTAACTAGACTAAAAAATAGACCGCTAGAAAAAATCCGAAAATCAGTTGACTATTTTATGAGCAAAACGGGCCCCGTTTTTCAATTTATGCGAAGAAAATGTAAACTATTTATTAAAATTCTAACACCGTAAATAACTAATAGACTATATAAACAGAAAAATATAATAATTATGAATTAAACAAGTAGGTTTGAATCATCGACTTTATTCATTGTTGAAGCATTCGAATTTAATTTTGTAGTATTGTATTTTATTTTGTTATTTTTTGCGATTGATCAACACTGTTCTGATAACTGAGAGTCTTTTAAGGTTTTTTTGAACTGTGTCAAAGTTTTTTCTTGAGTGAATCCGAATAGTTAAACTACACTTTACAGATTTGAAACGAAAATGATCTTTTAAGGTATCTTACTGTTATTACGAGGCAAAATCTCGTTATATGGATAACTATTCATAAAAAATTGTATCAGAGCGTCACCTGCAATGCGAACATTGTCGAGATAACCTAAAAACCTAATGAAAATTTTATATATTACATTCTCAAACATTTGGATATCTATAATGGTTCAAGAAATAAAATCGGAGGGGGATCTTCCTTTACATTAAAAAACTGTGTAAATCTGGCGTTTTGTGTTTTTCCTTGCAATATTACTAGATATGTTTTCCGTTTAACACAATATGATTTTGCGTTTCTTTTTCAAAGCGCACAAAAAATGTCAAGTTTGTATCACTTCAAACGTTAAATTTTAACTATTTTTTATTTTATGATATTTCCAAAAACCGTTTTATGGTTTTAGTTTTTTTCAAATTATTATAACGTAGCAGCGCAGTAAGTGAAGCGATTTGCAGGTATGAACAACAGTTGCACGGGAAAAAGTAACCAGAGGCAAACCATGGACGACAGTGCCGTGAGCACGTCTTCCTCGAGCGTCATACTGTCCCAAGAAGCGGAGGAGATTTCGAGACGAAGGGCGTTTGCCCACTACGACTGCCAATCATTGACAACGAATCTAAATTATTCGGTGAGATTGAGAAGGAATCTGTTGGCGAAACGGAGAAACACCACCACCGGAGCGTCGGCTGCATCGATGATAATTAGGTCAACAACGCCGGATGGTGAGTTTGTATGTCGAAATTTGAAAAAATTGTGAAAATGTTGGAAATTATAGTCGAGTTTCGGAAAAGGTCGACAGAGAGCATATTTGCATTCTTGATTTTTAAAACACTGTTTCTACCAAATTTTCATATATTAAACTTAGTTCGATTGTGTATCGTTTTAAAGCTGAGGCAATTCTCTTTGCTCTTTGGGGGTTCGAACATTTTCCGATATAAGTTGTCTGTAAATTCAAATATTAATGTTAATTTTTAATTTTAGTAAACTTGCAATCAATATAAAGGGTTTTTCCTAGGCTATCCATAGCATCGCGCTATGAGTGAAGCGATTGCAACTGCGTACCTTGGCACTGACAATTACAAAAAAAAAACTGAAAAAAAGATGTATTTTTCCATTCGATAGTAATATAAGGGTCCAACAACCCAGTAAACACCGCATTTCAATATCTTTACCTTAATCTAAAATATAAACAAAGGAAATTAAAACAAAAAAAGTTGAATTTCCACCTTACGGGTCGTGTGATTGATAAATGATATTGAAAATCAAAATAAAGTTTCGTTGATATCGTTACGCGTTTTCAAATCTCACTTACTAAATATAATTTAGGTTTAATCACTAACTCGGTCACTAATCACTGGTTAGAGACCAACTAATTCGCACATCTGCATTTGACAGAAATAATTGGCATCTAATTAGCAAATTGTGATCAAATAATATATTATGCAACTAGTGTGTGTATTTTACACCCTAGAAAAAAAATGTTTTTCCACTCCCGTCTGTAAAATGCTTAATTACACACGGATCTTGCGTCCGAGAAGCGTCACTTTACCACGTGAGTTTCTTGTCCCACTTCCGACATTTCCGAGATATTTTGACTTTTCTCAATTCTGACGATCATGTCAGTGTTGGTATTGGTGTTATTTTGCGAAAATATACCCAACAACTAACGGTCGTTAGCGTTTTATTTGATGAATTTAGGATAATTGGATACTAATAATAACCCGTAAAGTGCAAATGTAGAATTAAAACGAAATTAATCTTGTTTGACAGATGTAATTCATTTCTTATTTTGTTTTTATTTGACAAAACACTACGCAATTGTCATGTCCTTATTTGACTATCGTTGAAGTCACTTTAAAATATTTGAATTGACCTTGTGAATGTGTTTATTGCATTTCAAACGTGTTAAACAGAACGAGTTCATCGTAATAGAAAAAAATTACTAATTTTTTATGGCTAGGCACGACGAAAAATGGCTATTAAAATACAGTACAATACAATAATAATTAAAAAAATTGATAAAATCAGTTACTCTCCAACAATTTTGGTTAGTTGACCAAACCTAATTTTTAATCGAAAAATAAGCGGAAGTAATAAATTAATGTAATAAATAGTAATGTCAGCTATTGGATAATTTTGTGCTCTCCGAAAAAATGCGATGCAGATAATAGCAATATGAAACAACCAGTAAATTGAAATTGTCTTCCAAAATTGAATTGAGTGTTTAGTTCCTTTATACATATTGAAGTTAGGATAAAGATATTGAGATGCGGTTTTTACTGTGTGGTTGGTGGTTAGTGTTATTCACTGTGTTGTCTTACTATCTAACGTTTAACTCATATAGTTTTATTTATTTTTTCCTTGAGAAAATTATTATTTAATTATCAGAAAACGCCATCTGGTGGTGAGGTAAAAGTATTCGCTATCACGTCACTCATAGCACAATTGATAGCCTAAGAAAAGCCCGTTTAACGAATCCAAGTTAAAATGGACATGCATTTTCACCCCTCCACGTTCCTGTTACAGACAGAGCAAAGCGCATTGAACAAAAAACATTTGAACTTGTCTGAGTTTTAAAACGGTACTCACTTTAATTATGATTAATATAAGAAAATTTTACAGAAACCGGATTTTGAAAATTAAAATGGTTTCATGCCTCTACCTCGCTGCCATTATTAGCACCCAGATATATTTCATGTTAACGCAGGTGATGGTGAAGACGATTGCGGTGACGGTCAAAGCAACGAATTAGTGAAAAGCTGTCCGTTCTTCAGGAACGAAATTGGCGGCGAAGAAGAACGGGTAGTCAGCCTTACCCGACTTCAAAGCGGCCACCATCACCGGAAACCGCTGCATAGGCCGCCCCTGGCCTATGGAGTAGCCGTTTTGGAATTTCCGACGGGCGAGACCCACTGGCGGCATTCGACGTGTCCTTACCAAAGGCTGCCCAGGCCAATAGAAAACGTGGACCAGGGCGCGTTGTATTATAGAAAGTATTTTTATGGACAAGGTAAGTTTTATGTTTGGTACAGATCGATGCGGACAAAACTGCAGCATTCAAGGTGCAAAACTCGCCCCTTAGTAGTTGAACTATACAGGGTGTTTCATAAATAAGATGCTGATCTTTTATTGTACCATTCGTTGGATGGTCATATAAAGTGTGTTAAAATTAAATGGATAATTAAGGCATTAGCTCGGAGGCGTTGCAATTTAGATATTCATCTATAGCATAAAAAGCATTTTTGGTTAAATTGTTTTTAAGTACACTTTTAAAAGCACTACTTTTTTGTATTTTTTTAACCTCGGTTGGAAGTTTATTATAGAGATTGACTGCTAGAACTATAGGGCTATTTGCCACCTTAGTCAGCCTGTGCGTAGGCAACATCAAGTTTAAATTGACCCTAAAATCATATTGACCATTTCTAGTTTCAGAGTAATTTTAACGTTAATAAATTTAGTTTAGGAAGTAATGTTTTACAAGGGTATGTATATGGCTTAAACAAATTAATTCTCAGTATTTTCTTTTGTGCTCTGAACACTTCACCGCTCCTGACACAGTTACCCCAACACACGATGGCATATGACAAGCAGGATTGTATTTAGCCATAGGTACAAAGCTGAACGTCTCACCTTATATCTCAATTGCCAAAGTACATACGCACAAACTGACAGTTTCTTAAGTACTGCATCAAACTGATTCATCAATAAAAACTCCCAGATATTTCACAACTCTTTATTGTTTAACCGTTTTATTATTAAATTTAACAAGAATACTCTTATTTAAATTTTTCAAGCTAAAAAGCATTATTTCTGTTTTAGATTCATTTAAAGCAAGTCTATTTTCATTGCAAAAAGTTATCATTTTATTCACCGCACAGGTTGATATTTTGGATAAAACATCTAAACTAGCATTTGAAGTTGTGACGACTGCATCGTCCCCGTATGCAGCAACGTAATGACTAGGAAATTACTGCATAATGTTATCAAAGAAAATTATGAATAAAAGCGGTCCCAGTATGTTTCCTTCAGGTAATCCACTGATAACTGATGCATAAGATGAACTAACCGAGATATCGTTATTTTTTTGCTTGTTGGTTTTTTTGCTTCTTTCCAGTGAGGTAAGATTTTATCCAACAATAACTAGTTCCTAGGATATATCGCGCATTAATTCTATACCTATCACATCAAAAGCTCTCCTCAAAAATCAAAAAATAGAGTCAAAGACTTACTATTCTCTTCGAAACAGATTTATTTAAAGACATTAAAGCTTCTTCTGTTGAATGGCCTTTCCGAAAACCAAATTATTCGAAAATGAAGCTAATCTTTTATAAAAGCATTTTCCGAAGATTTGAAGATGTTTATATAATAAAAAAAAGTTTTCCCTATTTTCAATGAAACTGCTTTAGATGGATGCTGGAATTTGTTAGGGATCCATAATTGATAAAAATACTTTTTCTATTCTTTCAACAGTGGCATAGAGGTAAGTACGACGCGGAATAATTTTTATAAAATTTTTTTTTTTGTTTTGTTTTTGTTATTGTGTTTTTTTCAAAAAGAGTCTCTTATTTTGGTTAGCTTACAATCACCCGGTATGTCGATATAAGACTAGTAATAAAGATGTATATATAACGTTTATATTGTCTCATAATATTATTATATTATAATAGTATTATAGTCTTCTAATATTATTGTATGCTGCATCAGACTGTAATTCTCCCATCGTTATTCCTTCTACCAGCTTTATTGGTTTATGTGTTAGTATCCTACATATTGTTATCATATATTTCACGTGTCAACTCGTATTTGGGTACATAAGTCGTACTTTGTCATTCATTGTGTACCAGTTTAAATAAACTAAAAAAAAAATGGCCAAAATCTAGTATCTAATCTTAAATTAATTAATGATAAAACCTTCACTTCAGGCTTCAACGAAGGGCAGCTATGTGTTTCGTGCCATTGGATGCTAGGCTTGCTGTAGTACATCACGATATAGTTTCCTTTTTTTTTAACGTTTCCGGTGCCATGCTTTGTTTTGCGTTCTCCAGATCTTTATTGCATATCGATAACTGAGGTCAATAAAATCCCGTGACCCCAATAATGAAAACAGATACGACCATGAGAATTAATTAACACAAATTCATTTCGCTTTAAATGTTATTAATCTCTTTAAACACAAAGCAATGTAGAAGTGGAAATTAAGTATTCGCTGATAAACTGTACGTGTATGAGAAAGGGTCGATAATATATTCAACAATCAATTTGCAGAACACCAGAATTGGTTCGGTATGGATGAACAACTTGGACCGGTAGCGATATCGATAAAACGAGAAAAAGTTATTCATCCCGAGAATCAGTTGACCACCACCCTTACTCAGTATCAGTATCGGTAAGTTGTTTTGCAGGGAATGGTGTTTTTTGCTACTCAAATTAATGAATTATGCTCTACAATTAATTAATAGTAATCAAATAAGAGAAATTTCGAGAGAGTCCTTGAGTGCCAAAAGTTAATGCCATGTGTGCTAAAAAAGGTATTTAAGGTTAAGTCAAAATTTTTGTTTTTTTAGATTTTTCTCGATAACTGTGTTTCAAAAATTGTGTATGTCATTTACAAAAGTTGGTGTTTTGCAACCAGATTGTAAAGTGACATTTTTGCCACAACACAATTTTGCTTAGTCGTATATTTTTTTGTGCTCATAAATCGGTTGTTTGTTGTTAAATGACAATGTTAAATGTAAATACAACCTCCGCAATAACCCAATTATGTAAAACGATTTAATGTTTTTTTTTATTTGCAAGTTAGTTGGAGGAGGTCTACTTACTCCTGCAGCGTAATTATAGAACGAAATGGCGACAATTATTACGAAAACAATTAAGATAGTTTGACAAAGTTCATTAATTGATAATTCCAATAGATTTATTGATTTGTTTTGTTTGCTATAAGAAACCAGGTGGTTTTATATGTATGCCCAATAGGAACCTTTTCATTTAAATGAATCAGTTTACTTTAACTTTAAAATCTAGCAATTTCTGTTTCGTTTGATCATACTGAATTTAGCTGCGATATAAATAGAAAAACTTATTTAGTATTTAATAACAATAAAATTTATTACAACATTTAGTTTGGAAACGATTTATTTAAATATATAGGGTACTTAAGAGTTCAGATTTGACCGTAATTTCATATAAGTATGTATTCTAACTTGCTTTGTTGTTGGGTGTTAAAGTTTATAGAAAAAAAAACTTTTATCTGATTTTAACATATTATATTTATTTATATATTTATATGGAATGAAATGTGTTCCAGCGACGAACTAAGGTAATTTAATCACAGCACGTCAGTGTTTTTTGTCAGTTAATTGCTTTTCTTAAATTAAACAATAAAAAATATAGCTTCTTTGTTTCTTCAATTTTTGCATATCCGTAGAACATCATTTAAAGCAATTTAAAATAGAATTATTTTCATTTTTTGCAAAACTTTTAAAGAATTTTTTTTTTAAACGTTTTAAGTATTTTTAAATTTTACTTTTACTTTGTGTAACATTTGTAATTCAACAAATCTAAATTACAGAATATAAAGGAATTTCACTTTTTCTAATGAAAAAAAATTAAATCGTCAAAACATCAGTCACGTGCCTTGATTTTACTCATAAATATGAATTAGATCACTCTCTCGGAAACTACTGACACGAATAATTTTGTTTGAACTACACAAAATAAAAACCCTTTAGACGATAAATTAGCGTGTCAAAATAAGCTAAAAAGATTTTTATGCAAACAAAGAACTTATTTTTCTAAAAACTGACATTTTGGTACCTCGACGTATTTTTGGCTGATAACTATGATCTTAAAATCTTTGTTAAATTTGAAACATTTTTTAGGTTCTAGTCATTGTTAAAATTTTATTAATTTTATCAATTTACCATACTGGACCACACCGTTGGAGGTTCAAATTATTTATTATTTCGTACAAATGACGTTTAAATTAAGCTAATAACTTAGAAAGTAATTATTTAATTATCATTTATTATAATTAGTACTATTTTTGAACCTAATTGTTGGTTTTTTAATTTCTCTCCAATTTGTTTTAACTAGTAATCTTCATGAAATTTTGAGATTTTTCTATTTATACTGATTTGCATAGTCAGTTTGACAATCAATACAGTAAACACATCGAGTGTCCTGAAAATTATGAAGCCATTATGTACATTTTATTTTCAAGATTTGTCTGTATAGTAATGAATTTCAGGCTGGTGGTCCGTACGTCCGAACTTTTAACATTAAGGGGGTCGGTTCTCGAGGACGCCATCCCCAATATTAAACCATCGAACAATCCAAAAACATTAAACACCAAAGAAGTGCTGGAGTATGTGGCCCCGGAAATACAATTAAGTTCTCTACGATTAGGCGTTCAGGACAAGCAAGTTCCTGAGCAATTGCTCAAACTGGATGAACAAGGCTTGACGAATCATTACAAAGTAAGTGCTTAGATTAGTACCGATGTTACTATTAAATAGTTTCTGGTTAGGGTATGGTATACAGTTATTGTGATCTATTTTTCCTGAAATTTTGACATTGACGTCTAGGTTATTCAACAAGACGAGGCAAGTGAACAAATCGCAGCCCCTAATTTCTTTCGAGAGCTAAACACATGTCCTCACTTTTATAGCAGTCTCAATAATAGAGGCTATGTAATATTTTTGGATTTTTTTTTAGATAATATATAGCGAACTACAGAATTAATTGATAGTTTATTTTGTTTGTTTTGATTGTTAGGGGGCGTAATTCAGCTACAAATCAGTTAAATAAGTTTAATATTAATGTATATTCCTATTAGATAATATAGTAGCCGTAAGGACGTTAAAACAATAAAATTGCCATGCCCAAACTAAAAACTGTCAAATTGAACTATCTATTAGCGGTTGTGTTAGATATTAAACATCGCTAGGACTTATACTAGTTTTACGTAATTGATGAATTTCTTCATAAAGTCTTGAAAATTGACAGTAAAATCATACCCTACTAATTGTTTTATTCTGTGGTTCAATTTATAGGTTTTAGAGGTTGTGTTGGACTGTTTCGTTGTTTTGGAGCAGTCCTTACATTTAATTAAAGTGTCTAAGGCTCAGTTTTTTCTACAAAAAAAATTAGTTTGGTTAAAATTGGTTTAAAAATGAGTTTAGAAATTACCCTGAACAGTTTAAATAGTTAAAAGTCGCATCAAAGCCAAGCAAAATGGTCACATATTTTCAAGATTGCAGAAGACTCTACCTCTAAGACATATCATAGTCCAGTATTAGATTAGAATTGATAATACCGTGGCCCTTGTAGAGTAAAAATTGATGTGTGTCAGGCGGATATTAGATTTTCGTAAAGGTGGGAATGATCTTCCGTGCATGCTTCTAAATTTCACCCCTGCACTTGACGAGATCTGGGCACATTTTGAGAAAATACTGCTCTAAAGAATATAAAATATATACTGAAACCTGTCGAATTTGAAAACGAGATTTCAAATGACCGCGCATGTGAATATAAAATTGGTCCATCTCATTTTTTTTAATGGTCTCTTGAAAAATTCCTATATTATCAGCCTTGGCAGAGCCCATATAGATCTAGTAGCTAAATGGTTTATTATAATACCGTAACCTTGCTAGAATAAATTATATCAGATGGAAAAGAATACCCGCGGTTTTTTAGGTTGGCATAATGTATTGCAAAGCGGGACAGTCGACGGAGGAAGAGATGTACAACAATGAAGACGCGGGGCCTGCTTTTCTCGAGTTTTTGGAAACGATAGGCAAGAAGGTGCGACTAAACGGGTTCGACAAATACAAAGCGGGACTCGACAATAAATGTAAGTACAGAAATAAGTGGACGCGTTTCCGCAAGACTTTTCCGTTTCTTCTTCTGCAGCGGATTCGACGGGTCATTATTCGGTCTACGCGCAATACCAGGAGTGCGAAATAATGTTTCACGTGTCTACGATGCTCCCATTTACGCCGAACAATCGTCAGCAGCTCTTGAGAAAACGTCACATCGGTAACGACATTGTTACCATCGTTTTTCAAGAGCCGGGCGCCCTGCCCTTCACCCCCAAAGGGATTCGATCCCAGTTTCAACATGTGTTCGTTGTGGTGAACGCGATCAACCCTTGCACCGAAAACACTCACTACAAGGTGGCGGTCTCGCGTTCGAAAGATGTCGAGGTGTTTGGTCCGCCGATTAAAGAGGGCGCCATCTTTCCAAAGGGCAAGGCTTTCGCCGAATTCCTGCTGGCGAAGGTGGTTAACGCGGAGAACGCCGCCCACAGATCGGAAAAATTTGTTACTATGGCTACCAGAACGAGGCAGGAGTATTTAAAAGATTTGGTCACGCATTATTCCGCTAACACTCCGGTGGATACTGGACAAAAATTCTGTAAGTTATGCTGATGGTATATATAAATTAAAAAGTTTTCGAATAAACCCAATTCAACGTCTGGAAAAAGTAAAACGAATTAATTAATTGGTTAGTTGGTTGATTTGGCGTTGGTATACTGCTTTTTTTACAGATTTTAGAGTAGAAAAACTTGTTTTTTGAAAAATTGATATTTGTGGCTGTACGCATTTCTTTCATCAAAAATGGCGACTTCGAGTAAGAGTAAGAGAAACACAGTCTATTTGTCGCAAATACAGTAAAATTGTCATTCCTCGGGTGCGATGAAATTTTCATATTTCTCATTTTTCGCTGAAGATACTATAGGATCTGGGACAAATTTTTGTAGAAAAAATATCACAGCTAGCAGGAGATTTTAAATGATTGACGCATCCCTGCTCAATATGTATTATAATATCCTAAACGCATGCGTGTGTTTCAAACGCACGTTTGGAGATTATAAAAAAAAAGAAAACATGTTCATATAAACGTAGGTCCGGAAATGCGTTTCAAGATACAGGGTGTTGTATATTTAAAAAAACTCGGCTTTTTTACAATATGGTAATTATTTTTTGTCCGATTTCGTTGAAAATTGATAACGCTGTTATTTAACAAGATTACTTTCGCAATCTCGTGGGCTGTCCGGTGCGTCTGCTTCGTACACAGTCTATAAAGTCACTACGCTTTTGTTTGTACTGGTAATTGCGATTTAAAATGATATTTTTGAAATATCTCGCGCACTGTCTATGATAGACGAAAGCTGAAAATCTCTCTTGACACAGTTTACGATACTGTTCAATTCAAATTATCCCATGTTTAACGGTTTTGATTTATCGCCAATAATTTACCCACAAAAATTGAAATTTGTGGGATTTTTTAGATTTATTTCCCATAAATGACACACCCAGTATATAATGCAAACAATGTTTGCAATAGAGATCGTAGCTCTGCATCTCCCACATTTCCTGGTATATAAATTTTTCCAGTAGGGTAAATAGTTTTTGAGAAAATAGTTCTTTCTGAAATCATGCTGTACGCCGTAAGAGTAAATGACGTCATCGCATATAGATTAAGTGCGAGATATAGCGACTGTCACAGAGACTTTTTAAAATATCTCGAGAAGCGTGTATGATGGACGAAAACCGTAAATACAAAAATTCTAGCTGCCTACAGGACTGTTTACACCAAACAGCCATATTTTTTTCTAATTTTGATTTATGGCTAATAATTTACTCTGAAAACGAACAATTTTCAGGGTCTTTTTCTATTTCCATAGTTAAAAAACCATGTATATAATCGAAAAAACGCTTGAAATAAAAGTTATAGTACCGGATCTTCCGCATCTCCTGGTACATCATTTTGTCGATCAAGTTAATAGTTAAAATACAAAAGTTTTAGCTGTTCATATGGGCTTTATGGTCGTGTGAAAGAAACTGGCAACAGAAACAAAGCCCTATAGTTATGGACAATTATCGTTATAAGGGGAACACAATTTTCAGTTTTTTGTAAATTGCCGACGCACCCTGTACATTGTTTCAAAATTATGAAGAATAAAGGTTTTTGAGCATGATCTTGCGCGACTTTGGGCTTAAGAATTTTTTAGATAGTACGTATGTACAGTTTTTGAGAAATATTTTTTTTCTCGAAATGCAAATGTGGTTTTTAAATTTTTTAAAACACTTCTCGACCGCCCTCGTCCCAACTTCAATAGGTTCCGTCAGAGAACTAAGGTCTCTATTTGTGCTAAGTTTGACCTCGATAGCTGCAAATTTCGAACACATATCGTGTTTCATAGCTATATACGACAGACAAAGGCTATAAAAGATAGACGCCAATGTCCGACCGCGACCATTTCTTATAAGCTGTTTAAAAGTAGAAAAATCTCAGCGCACTAGCTTAAGCCGTTCGGAAGTTATTCGCGTTTTAGGAAGCGGCTGCAGAGAGTAGAGAACGGACAGACAAAATAAAAAGAATTTTATTTCGTCGCTGCCATGCCCGAAGGTACCTTAACGAATAGTATTGTCACAGAGGATCTGCACCGCTGACTTTTTTTGTTACTCACATCGAACAAGCCTGTAAAGGTACAACTTTTTTAACTTTTGAATTATGAAAATCGGCAAAACGTATTCTAATGAACATCTGTTTTTTGGAACCCTTTCAGCACAATCAACTTAGTTCGGAAAAATTAAAACTAAGTAAAATATAATATATTAATTTTTCAAAGAAACTTCCACAGGCTACTGCCCATCCAACAGAATGATTGGCGAAACGTCAGCATTTTCGACTAAGCAAAGACCGACGCAGGAGGAGTCCAGAAGTTTCGTAAAAAGCAATATATTATATAATATATTAAAAACCAAGCATTTCTAGATCTACGTTCAAATGAACTTTTTGTTTTTTTTCAATAACTGATCTCCTCTAAAGCATTTAGATATGTTTTTTGAAACACTCTGTATAGGCGGGTTGCAAATTAATATAAATATGTGAATGAAATCAATATTCTTGTTAAATGATTTTCATATTGGTACCAAACCAAGTTAGAAGCAATTTTTGCTCAATAATAGGTAAAATATATTTCACTTTTAGCGATATTTGGTAGCAAAAAGAAAGACAAAATTCGACCGCGTTTCATACCGGACTTATGCCAAAGAGGCGCCATTTTGTGGCAAGTTCTGCTCGACGACAGCGGTCAGAGTCAGCAGATCGAATGTTTTTTGGGAATTTCTTCCGACACGTTCGTGCTAGTCGAGGAACAAACGAGACAGATCGTGTTCGTGACTCCTTGCAAATCGATTTTGGGATGGTCTCCCCAAACCAACTCGCTGAGGATCTACCATCATCAGGGAGAATGTATGACGATTCACATGAGGGACAGTCATACCGACGAGCTGCTCGAAATTATGAGCCGTTTGAACGCCGTTACAAACGGACATATTGCCAAAGAATTCTCGATTAGGTAACAACATTTTATAAGTCGATAAAAAAAAGGTGAACGATGTCGTTACAGTCGCAACATTATGGGTCAATTGGGGTTCCACGTGCAACCCGACGGAATTGTAACTTTGGTGGAAAGTGCGGGACAAGCGTGGCAAGCGGGCCTGAGGCAAAATTCGAGATTGGTTGAAATTTGCAAAGTTGCGGTTGCTACTTTGACCTACGATCAGATGGTCGATCTGTTAAAAACCTCTCTGACTGTAACTTTAACTGTGATACCACCATTAGTGGACGGTTCGCCGCGGAAAGGGTGCACACTGCAAAATTGTAAATATAACGAAGCCCATTACGAAGGTAAGCGGTTCTTTTCCTTCATTTTCCGAAAAATTGACGGTTAACATTATCACTCTATACGAAGTGTTAACAAAATACTGTGCCAACCTTAACCGGCAGGTGGATTTTTTCATAGATATGGAAAAATGCAAAAAATGGATACACTTTTTTTGCAGATAATTAAATTCTTCGGGCGATACTAATTATTCTTGAAAAAAAAATTATAGAATTTTAAAGCAAAGTGATAATTTTGTATTTCTTTTTTAATCATTTAATGAACCACATCCTTAACACCTTATCTCTCAACCTGTAAAAAAAGTAAAAACTTGAAGACACCAGTTCTTTGGATTTACTTAAAATTTTAAAATATTATATTAGAGTCCGATTATTTATTAGAGTACGGTGATGTCACTGTTTTCTGCGCGAACGTGATTGTCTCTCTTCTATCTCAAGCAGTTGTAATTTGCTCTACCAATGGCGTGACGCGTAGCAGAAAACATTAAAATAATTAATAAGATAAAGTAAGTATGCAATGTTTGTTTTTATTTTTATTTTTTTAATTTTACATGCATATAAATAATGCTTCAAAACACCAGGGTACTAAAAAAGGTCTGTTTCTAAAGAAGTTAAATATAAAAATACAAGCATCAAATTTTATTTATTTGTTTAGTAAGAAATACAATAATAATTAATGCATAGACCGGTCGTACCGACTCTGGTTCAGCCGATCGAAATCGAACAAAACAATCAAATAGAACGTCAACACAGTTCGTCCCCTAAAAAGGAACTGGTCACTCCGCGCTCCTGCGCGGACTTCGTTTCCGACAATAGGCAATAGAGGGCGCTCCATCACCTCCACGCAGTATACTCCGACCAATTTTTAAACCATCAGAGCACAAAATTCTGATTTGTTTTTATTCTGAGTCTGATGTTTAATTGCTTTGAGGCGAATATCGCGGTTTTCTAATGTTAAATTACATCACAAAACAACAAACACATTAATAAATAACTCACTTGAAGCCTATTTGTTCCAACAGAGTCCTTAAAGAACCAACGCTTTTCACGCTATCAAGCAAAATCGCTCTGTCAACAAAGTAAGTATAATGGTTTGTTATTAAATTTTAAATCCTTACGTTTTAAAGTAGGTAGTCTCTTCTCTATAAAATAAAAACCTTAAATGATTTCTCTTATGGAGTTCATTTGTCCTGGAGTGCTGTCGCAATTTCCTTAAAATCCTTGGCCTTTTTTTCCTGCGCGTGCAAAAAGAAACGCTTATTTAGATACCTCGGTAGCAGCCAGAGTTCTTGACCTATAAAAAAAACCGTTTCGTTTGAATAAAAATTTGTTGTAGCTGTACAATTTTAGGTACCCGTGCGAGACATTAACGATTTCTCCCTTGACTTTGAATTAATCCTTTCTTGCCTATTTTTTTAGGGGTCATATTGGGTTAGTAAATCTGAAGGTACTTCAGATTTAAATATATCTTCAATGACTAGAATAAAGCAAATACACGTTCAAGATGATTTTTCTTTTAAAAAGGGCGAAATCGTCATATATTCTTATAAAATAAGAACATATTTACCTCAAAATTTATATAATACTTTCGTAAGCTTTTTAAAACCCTATCACAATATCAACACTTTTACGCAGTTCACAATTAGAAATTCGAGCCGACACATGATTCGGCCTGGGTGGAAATCCGTTCACTGCGCCGCTTGCGTCACTGTACTCTTTACTAAATAATCGGACTCTATTATAAATACAGGAAATTTGTATGTTTTTGGACAAGTATACGTGTGTCCTGTGATGTCATGTCTAGCGATTTAATCAAAAATGGCCCGTGTGTTTTAGCTATATTGCTACCATTTTTAGATGCGGATTTCAAAACTGGCAAACAAGATTCCTGTATCAATTTACGACATCCAGTAATGAACTAGATATAGATGTCATGCTATGACGTAACTGCGCAATTACTCTGACTGGACTTTAACAACTTTGAATTGAATATTTGGAACTTTCTACACATCTTTTATAGCTAAGTCTCGCCGTTTCTGAAATATTTTTAATTTTACAAAGAGTTTATAATTTGCAACATTGAGAAAAAATATTAATTCTATTAATTGTTCCAATTTTTTAAAATTTGTATATTATCCGTTTAACATTTTCTCTTGTAGCTTTGGGCCATCTGGATACGTTTCAGCAAACGTCAGAATGTTAACATTTTTAGAAATTAAACAAATTTAAATTACCTTTTTGGTAATAACTTTATTGTCGGACATGATTGACAGGTTTATAAAATCTTTGTGAACGACATTAACCAGTAGGTGTCATTTCTGTAGTGCTCGATGTTTTTTTTCTGGCTTGTTTTCGAAATTGACAACTTTTTTTAAATAGGCAACCTTTAGTCAAGGTCAACCAATTTTCAAATACGATAAAATTGTGAAAATGGAGTGTTGGAATTAAAAAAAAAAGTTTTAACGGTTTTTTAACGGGAAGACGTAAGTGTAAGATGCTAAATACTACAACGTCTTGAGAGTTTTGAGGAATTAAAAAATGCTTTAATATACAAACTCTTCTGTTTAAAATAAGAAAGAATAAAAGGTATAAGGCAAGTTTAATCTTTATGTTTTTTGACACGGGTTCTGTGATAAGATTTGTTCCCATAAAAAACGGGTCAGACTGTTCAATAATTGTCGGTTTTATGTACAGGTTTGTTCATATATCCTAAAATACACGTTATATAAGCCAAAACTAAGCAATAAAAATTAATTTGTTTATTACAATTTATTATTTAAGGAGATTATGAGAGCGTGGGGACGGACGGACACAAATCTAAAAAGGCGCCACAAATGCAACAAGCCGTTTCGGGTCATCACAGGAAGGTTTACGAACGAAGCTTTTCACCCCCGAGAAGTAGCAATTCTTCCGGTTATGGTACCGGCAGTAGCAGCAAATCGTTTCACGGGCAGGAGAATCGCTATTTAGCGAACAACGTCGAGGTAAGGTTCAATGTTACGCTACCTATGGACTTGAATTATCGGCAAACGCTTCCAGGGCACCGTCACTAGTTCGTCGAACGACGACAAGTGGTGCGAGTTTTTCCAAGACTTCGACGTACCTCCCATTCCGTCCAAACCTACCTCGTACGGTGTGAGAAACCATCACCCGAACAACACGTTTCCGTGTTCGCCCAAACGGAACAACACACTCCCAATGAATCAACCTCCCCCCACTGCCCATCACCATTACACCGTTCAACACAACAAGATCCAATTCAGTAATAGTCTTCCACTGCAGCACGTTAATTTCCAACAACCGCTGACTGCGGCGTTGCATACCAATACCAGCGAGATGGACTTGTCTTACAAGTCGGAGAAAAATAACTTGTTGAAGCACCACAACGACAAGCAACGACAGGAAAGTGATTATATCCAAGCGACGAGGGCCCCGAAAGTGCCCGAATTTATCAACGACAATCTATCCAACGATAGTTCGATCAGCGATCGAATGAACCTGATCGGAAGCGAGGATGAGTTGTCTACGGGTAGTGGGAACCACTCGCCGAGAACTCGAAGGAAACATTTGAGCAATACGCATTACTCGACTCGGAACCAGAGCCCGAGATCGATGAACGGCGAGGCAAAACTCCGACCCGGCGTCACGTCAAGGTCTTCCAACAGGAACAGCGCCAATCTATCGACCAATAACTTCCAGGAGGAACTGCTGAGACTCATCAATCCGGATAGTATCGAATCGTGTTCCGATACCAAAGAGGCTAACGTCCAATCGCATACGTTGTCCGTCCACAAAGGTCAGCCAGAGGTCATTTTGACGATGGCGAGACCCGCCACGGTGATTTCAAATGCCAGCACCACCTCAAGCCCGCTGCCGAATGAATTTAAAGTGTCGAGAGACGACGGCCCGCCGTCTCCCAGTAAGAATACGGTCGGTTTGGCGTTTCCGGAAAATTTTCCGTTACCCGAGGAATCGGACTGGCCCAGCCTGGTGGACACCGCGACGAGGGTCATGATGCAAGTCGGATCGATGCAGGAACCCGATAGTAACAGAGCTCGATGGGACGATGAAATATTGTCCGCCGATCACACGAACGCGTACGGGTGAGTGGATGGTGTGAATGCTGTCGAGCGAGATGAGGGAATGGTGTGAAAGGTCCAATACCAGTATGGGTAGAGTCTTCTAAACGATATACCGATTTTACGACATAATCCGGTATTTAACTTGGGTAAATTTTTATGAAGGTCTAACCGCAGCCCTACCTCGCTTGGGTTTCTCTTTGTAACCCGCAATTCAGAACCGTACTTCAGTATTTCGTGCATACAAATGCAGAAAGCTGACGGATTTGTGTGAAGTTTCATCGGTGAGATTCCTCGATTATTATTAGTCCATGCAGTCAAAAATCCAAGGAGTAAATTTAGCTACAAAACAATGTTCGAATATTCATAACAAAAGTTATTCTACATCAAAATAATCACTATTGTCACTCATCCCCCACATTAATAATTCATTCTGACACTAGTCGACTTCTGTAAACATTTTCTTCTTTGATGACATGTCCTGCACATTTTTCCCAACTAGAAGCAGATATTTTTTCTACTTCACTTCCAATTAATTTTATTGCCCCAGAACTAGATTTCGGGAAGGTATTGTTTCTTCTTAAACTGGGTTTTAGCTGTCCCTATATCAGTTTCATCGAATTAAAATTGCAGTGACATGGTGACATTATACTTCAAACGTTCCCGTCTTAAGAACTTCCAATAACTGCTTCTTTGTGTAGGAATTTTCAAATATAAAGAATATGTCCCTACTCAGTCTGCACGGCACAGTTCTTGCCGGCTAACATGTTAACTACGGCCCTGGCCTGTGATAGACGTGTTAAAAGGAATGGTCCCTTCCGCTTTACAACAGGTGGGTCTCAACCTCGTTCCGAAGTCAAAACCATAAAAGGATGTAAAAACGGTATGATTTGGAGAGCTCTATCGGTACATCGACATATCGTTTTGGCCGATTACGCAGGTCTACAAAATTAAGTTTTTTGACAGATGGATTTTGGTATGCTGATTTTAAAAATTCTAAGCATTTGTATCGCGTATGGTTCTTTTTGCAAATATTAAAGAAAAAAAAGATATTTCTAAATTAATTTATTTTTTGATTCCATAAAAAAGTGGCGTCCTAATTAAAAAAATTGAAAAAAAAAACTATACTCACACTTTTTTGAGTGAGATCTTCGCTTTTTTGCCAAAAAGCTGCGTTGTCCGGACATTCGGCTGTGTGTTGTTAAGGGCATATCCCGTTTTAACATCTAGCAGTAGTCCGCCATCATCGTTAGGATCCATCTGCCTTGGTACCGCCGTTCCATTTCCTTAATGTCCTGGTGAAACCTCCCTCCCTGCTCTTCGTTAACTGCTCCAACTTTTTCAGGGAAATAGTTCAAATGTGAAAATAGGAAATGCACTTTCAAACTCATTGAACAATACTTTCGTAGCTTTCGTCCTTAGAGTTGCCAAGAAACTTATCTTTTACTTCTTTAAATGAAACTCAGGCGTTTCTCTCGACATGGGTCATTGTGTTTTAAACATTACACGCACAAAAAAAAAAACAATCATCACTGTGATTCCCAGGTCCTCGCCATACCATAGGAACACCAAAGCTTATACATTTCCCCGTACCTTTTTGCCAGTTTCTTAATGCTTCAACGCAAACGGAACAAACAGTATAAGCAGGCCAAGACTTATCTTGGTCGCCAATTTTTACATCAAAATAACATACATTTTTCACAAAAGAAGTTTTACTACGACATATGTACCACAATTATTTGGATCATTCACACAATGTCTTCTTTCAATATTTATACAACAGCCGCGAACACAGTAGCACGATGACCAATACAACCCAACTATATACAGGTTACAACGCTGTATTGACGCTTCTAACAAATAAACTAGTCAGCTTTCAAACATCAAAAGCACTGTAGACCCGTGTTATCCGTAAATCATCATTAAAATAATTACCAATATATCGGGAAAAAAAATTGTCTCGTTTCAGTTCATAAATAAAACTATTAAAAAAATCAAAATCTTTAAGTTTGAAGTGTTCTTATATCTTCTTTTTCCTCCCAAGCGATGTTGCACACCTCACTCATCAATCTGCAATTTTTCAAAATGTTTCCAAAAGAGGCTCCTTTTACGTTTGCTATAATTTTTATGTTTTTTGCCTTTTTCACTTCCTTATTAGTTTTAGTACGCTCCAATCGTTAATTTTTTACTAACGCCTTTTCTGCTTCCATTCGACAGTCTATTTGAACACGCCAAACATTTAAATATAAAATAAAAAAATCGCAGAGCTTTCCTAAAAAGGGACCCTATTTCTGATAACGGTATATATTGAAATATTCCGTCGCCAAAAAAGTGATAAGCATACTTTAAGGCTAAATTCTTAGAATATCGGAGTTTCAACTATTCAAAAATTTAAAGGTAACCATCATTATATGAGAATGGCTGCCAAAAATGTAATCATGTTGGGAGTTAAACTATATTAACTAGAACTCTAAGCTGGAAAAAAAGTTAATAGCAAAGTGCTGTAATTAGTATGTTTATCAATGGACTGTTTCATGAAACTATAAGAACTTTTTATAATGCATTTGTGGCAGTTCTCAATAAGTTAAAATGTAGAAACGAAAAACATACTACTTACATCATCTGGAATGGCTGAAAACTAACATTTTTTGGTATGTTTTTTTTTCTTCAACTCAACAATAATTCGAAAAATTATACATTTTAGATTGTGCCACGTACAGAAGTAAAAGGCTCTCAATAGGTTATTGAATATTTACTTTTTTAACTTTTCAACACAAAATCATTTATGTTTGCTTTGCTTAATAAGCAGTGTTTTCTCTCTTCCATGAATTGCTTTTTTCCAAACTGTCAATATTTTAGAAACTATACGTGGAAACTTAATATAAATTAATAATAAAAAAATAACTAGTATTATTTTAAAATACTAAAATTTAATTAAATCTGAGTGAACATATCCACTGGTAAATGTTTCTGAAACTCAACCCAAAACCGACTTTCTAATTTAACTGACTTTATTTGGAAGCACATATGATGTGAAAATTTTTCGTCCGCAGATAGGCAGTTCTTCTCTAATTTAATTCACCCCATAGTTTTTTTTTGCCTGTTGTTCCATCTTTTCGATATACTGTATAGGGCCCAACCAGCATCTATTAACAGAAACAATTTTAGAGTTTCATCAGCTGGTAGTCCGGATACCCAGAAGCACGTGGCGGAACTAAACAGAAAAATAATGACCCTAGAGAAAGAGAACAAACGACTGAGAGACGAAAATAAGAGGTTCCAAGAGCAAGCTCAAACGGCGGTCCAGCAACTTAGAAAATTTACAGAGTGGTTTTTTAAAAACGTCAAGAGGCAGTGAGAGATAGCTTTCTTTTTAGCTTCTTCGTCAATTTTAATTATACATTTCTCTAATGAACACCACATAGTTGGTTCTTCCGAAAAATATCTTAGTATATCAACCAAAAAATTTATTTAAATAAGTTACATATTAGAAAGCTTTAAAATTATTATTATGCATTTAGTTTGTTTTATTCATCGATATCACGTTTTGCAACTTCTGAAGTAATTTAATCGGATACTATAGTACAAACCGTCTATTTATTTTACTCATTATGGAAATATTTAAATTATTAGTATTATTAAATATGTTTAACAGTTACCAAACCTTTTCTAAATTTAAATTATTGACTAATTGTTAGCTCTAGCGGCGGCTCTTTTTTCGAAAATTGTTTTTATTTGCCCCCACCCCCCTTATCTTTTGCAAGGTCAAAATTAGTATTTTCATATCTTTAAGAAAAAAAATATTGTTTTGTTAGTATTATAACCTTTAGTTTTGTGGTCTTGGATGGGTACAATGGCCTGTGCCCTTAAAGCCCTTTTTGGGATTATTATTGTTATTTTTTGAAAAATATTTTGTTGGCTGCCTATGGGAAGCACACATGGGAGCATTGTACTCTGACAAAGCGTTATGTTGGTTAGTTAAAAAAGTTAAACTTAATTAATACTAGTTAATACTAGTTTATTCTCTTTTCAATACCAAATCATTTTATGTAATAAGCGCATAATTAATCTTAAGTATTTTCCATTCCCCTCTTACACTAGGATAGAAAATAATTATTTACTATCATTGTTATATCTTTATATTATAATATCATCTGTGACCTGTCTAGATGCCTTACAAATGGATCTATTTTATTAAAGTATTATCAATTTATGTAATTTTTTATAAAATCGTATTTGTTGTAAATAAAATCGTAACTGACAACAGAGAAGGGTGTTTTCTTCATGCCAACTTAAAAATCAAAAAATCTAGATCCAAAAATCTAAATGTGCGATTCATATTTAAATTTGGGATACAGCAAATTTTGGTGTAAAATTGTTTATGAAATTTTTGCCTAGGTGTTACCGAAGTTTCCAAATAAATAAGCAGGCAGGTGAAAAAATATTGTCATTCTTTCAGAAAGCTTGCAGAGAGATTTTAAAGATTAGACTATCCTTTTCAGAACTCATTTTTGTGAAACTTTAAGTTTCTTAAGGTACAATCTGAAAATCGTACAAAGTTTGGAAAATTCATGGGTCATTCAAAGTGGGGAATTTAGTGAGGAGGTAGAACCCTTATAAAGGTAGGCGCGATATTCGCTAAAAATATTGTTGTATCGATTAAATGGAGAGATAAAAATAACAACTTATCTTTCAAATTCATAATATCGCACAACAATCTCCAGAAGACCGATCATAAACTAAAGATCTAAACCCATGCTACAACACAATAAAACGGAAATGATTCACCAACCATATAGCTATTTTTAATATATATAGTAGCGGCAAGGCAATCCAAATTGATGCCACTAGGGCGGCTATGCTATTTTCGTAGAGATCTTTCGTTCTTGTCCGTAAATTTTCTGTTGAAAGAGCGATTTCCACATATTTAACTCGTTTTTAAAAACATTTAACGAGATTTGGCTGCCGTACACATGGCATATCTAAACTGAAAAGTGTACGAACTGCTGAACTGTCAGCGGCCATGTTGGATGTTGAACGCCGCTAGGTCTTATTGGTTGATTTTAAATGACAGATCTTTATGGTAGAAAACCCGACCTTAACCTCGCACAAATTTTTTTTATGGTAGTTTGAAAAGTTCCTGTATCATAGGCGTATGTAGTAAATAGATCAAAAGAATCTTGATTTATCAAGAAGCTTATGTGGTTTGTGTGTTATATATGAGATGTGATATATATGAGAACGCGATCGTAAGGCAACTGTAAACAAAGGCATGAACCAGCAAAAGAACTTATTTATAGACTTGAACATACGGCTCAGTGTAAATTTTATATGTTTCAAAAATAAAAATATTATATCACATCTAAATTCGTAGGCGCGCGTTGCGAGACTGGGTCAATGAAGATACCGATTGTTATTTTAACCTACCGTGTTCAGTGTTAATTACCTTGTCCTGTTAATATATGTTTGTTAGTCACGTTTAATTTGTGCATTTGCTATTCTTCGCTTTAAACGAAAAGCATGCGTGAAAAAAAAAACGCGAGTTTGTCGTATGCTGATTTGTGAATTGAATTTTAACGTATTAAGGTAAGAGGTAATTCCAAACGGCATCAAGAGTGTCAAGTGGCACCAAAATGAAAAGGGGCCGGTGTTGTGGTTCGTGTTGTTTCGTACCTAAACGGTCCAAAAATGAAACTACACACGTCGAGGAAAATTTCGTGCCGCTAGCAAACACTGTAAGTCTAATTTACTGTTGTTTAATTTGTTAACATATATGCTGCGTTCGATATTTGCATCGCAGACAAAACGGATTTTTGGTCACGTGATCACCTTCTTTGCACAGACTAATCTGTGCAAAGAATGATTAACGAATGGCGGGATTAAGTGAACAATTGATTAACCTATTTTATTTGTTCGTAGCGTTTCTGTGCCTGAATTTCTATTTTATTGTTTATCGTTCTGTCGGTACCTGAGCCAATTTTGGTCGATTTTCATTGTCATTAGAATAAAATTTGTATACTTGGTAACCCATAACTCAATTTCGAGAATTTACACAGATTAGTCTTTCTAGTGGTAAAAAAACTTGAGCAAACAGATTTATGTTGGACTGGTTTTAGCACATTACCGTGTCATTTAGATTTACCTCCCCTACTTCTAGATGTAATTAACAAAATATCTACAAAAAGATTGATACGCCTTAAATATTGTATTCCGATTTTAATAAATAATAGGTTTTGTTTATTACATGCCAATTATAATTTCTTGTCAAGGAAATTGACGCTCCATGGTCTGTGTGTGTTGTGATTTACTATAGGGGGTCGTAGGAGGAAGGGATGTACATCTTAGCTATCGCTTGACATTTGTATTATGCTAAAATAGATACATGACTACCGATGTATTTTTTTATGTTACCTAATTGTCAAAACTGCCAAACGATGAAATATTGTCTGGACACAAAAACAAGGAAAAAAAGGAAATTTTAACTGCTGAACAACAAAACAATGGTAGTTATTAGGTACCCAAAATTATTCTTGCGCGATTGATACACCAATTCCACTGGAATAGTTATGCAATCGAACAGAGGAACGAAAGAGAAAACAAACGAATTCTGGTTCCAGACATTAAGGAGCCAGCGAGGTTTTTCCGGCACCCTCATTTGCTGCGGGGTATTTTTGGCTGCGATTCATCGTTGCCCAAGTGCATGGAGTACGTGTGTGAATTAGCCTTAAACGTATTTTTTTTTACTTGTGTGGGATTATTAAAAGGCACTGAAACACGTATGGGAAATGTATTACAGGGATGTTTTACGCGTTTACTATCAAGGGTAAATGCGATAGTCCGAAAAGTGAGTAAATTATCAAGTACTGTAAAATCATGACCCAATTTTTATATTATAATCAGTGTGTAGAACTCGAAGTGGGAAAAATAATAATAATTTCCAAAATAATTAATTGACGAATAATTTTAGTTCAATTACATACCTTTAACAGGTTTAGAACGAACGTGGGCTCGTGCAGAACGATATTCTTTAAGAACAAATCGATAGCTAGGCACTGTAATCCGAGATTGTACATGGGCAAGTGTTAGGTTATAATAGTAGATATTACGTGCGTTGTAAATTTATTTCTACTTATCACAATAACACAATGTCTAATCAACAACACGTTCGTAATTTTCTGTAGTAAATCACCTTACATTTATGCATAGTATATGTCATACATAGTGTCACGGATAAATTAAGTTCCTCTAGCAATGGAAATTGCGACTGATGCACTCGATTTTGATTTCATCGATTTTGAACAGGAACAATCTTTGCAAGACACTGAGAACAGCCTTATTTATTCGGAAGACTTCAAGGATAGACTGCATGCCGGTTCGAGCATCGTTATAAGAGCAAAAGTGAAGCCGGAATGCAAAAGGTTGGTAATAACAGTTTCAGGGTTAATTACTTAAAATTGTTGGAATAGTAGATAGTTGAAATACCATAAAATCCTGAGTTTTTCCGTTTACACTTCTAATGGGTTGGGTTTTTCCATCTGTCATGTATCCATTATTTTCCCCGATGACGGCACCCACCTTTTCGTGACTCATTGCTGAATTCTCCCAATTATCATGTTATCAAATTATACAGTATTTAAATTACTAGTTGCGTTTCCGCATGAATAATTATTTATTTTCATAATTTAATATTTGGTGTACTTAGAATGAGAGAAGTTGGTTGGCGTGGCGCTCTCTAGTGACTAAAACTAATAAATCGTAGTTGTTCACATAAACCTTTGGCTTTGCGCTCTGCGAAAATTCGGAAATTGCACACACGATGGCGCCACGTACATTATATTTTAAAAAAATGAACAAAATAAAGGTTTAGAGAACCGATACCAGTTATTCCAACAGTATTTTTGATCTTTCGGGGTATCTAAAGCTGCGCTAAATTAATCGTTCCCGAGTATTATATTTGTGATTTATAATTCTTGGTACGTTTATTGGCATTTCAGCTTTAGTGTTCCAATCCTTTTATTTACATTGTGTTTCAAATTCCAATTTCAATATTGAAGTTCCCCAATTGCATTCATAAAATATTTGAATTGAATTATTAGGTTTATTAAAAGAAAATAATACTATTATAATTTATTTTATTTGTTATAATAAAGCAAACATTAGATACGGGGATTATGGCGGACGTAGAATACGATAAGTACTCACGGCTGACTGATGGAAAGCTTTAATAAAAAAGAAAATTGTCAATTTACCGGTAATGTGTTCGAAAGCGTGCTGCTATATTGTTGCTTTTGTGTGCGTCACTTCTGAGCCATTTGCCAACGAAAGGAAATTGACAATAATATATCAATCAGCGTCACTAAGCTTATTTGTCGCGAAATGGCCTATAAACCCTTTAACAGAGGATAAAACCCTCAAGATTTATTGTCTAACAGGAACAAAGTGGGAGTCGTGTCGTTTGTTCGAAATGGCTAACCCGGTTATTTTCTGCGATTACCGAGATTTGCGATTTGCGATAAGTGAAAAGAGTTCATTATTAGTGGCACGTTAATGTCAACATTACGTAATAATGAACAATGAACTGTATAAGTAGCGGTGTAATGTAAAGTTGTAAAGTTCGTTTAAAAATTTATATTAGAAATTATAAAAATAAAATTAATAAGTAAATTGGCCAAGACAAAATGCTGGAAATTATATTAGAGTTTCTGAAATGCCCACCAGGGGTATAATTTTTACCTTGAAATTTAAAACTCGTTTTCTACAAAACATTCTAATGTTAACCATAGTTACCGTGAGTACGATCTGAAAGCTGAGAATAATTTAAATCTTTTTTGTTTAATGTTGTCTCCTCTGTGTCTGCAAGCTAAGTAGTGGGGGGTTGTTCGAACAACTTAAATAAATGTCCATACCTCCCAAAAGGATTAACGCATTTTAATTAAGTTGGAGTCGTTAGAAAGGGATTTTCCAATCGACTTAAAAAAAAAATAGTAGTTGCTTCATAAGTTCCTGCATTATCGGCATCGGGCCTCTATATCTCTAGTAGCTATATGGTTTGGTCAGATAGTTTATAAAATTATTTAGTCTCTCATAATTGATTAGTGACTTAGTGGCTAAATGTAATTCTTAATAGAAAAAGTTTTTTTTTTTTCTTTTTTTTGGTTTGGATAATAATATTGAGATGCGGTTTTCTCTGCAGAAATAGAGTATACAGCGTTAAACAAAAAAATGGCTTTACTTTAAAATAGTAGTCACTTCAACCACGGTTAACTCTAGAAATTCTTTCAGAAACTCGAAAATAATTTGCAACATTGCCTTTTGGCCAATTTACTTAACTTTAAATGGTGATTTACAGTGTATGACAAGTTCGTATGGTGAAGGAAACAGGAACGTTCTGAAAATTTGACCGTTTACATAAACGAGGCCCATCCATTCTTCAATTTCTGATTGTTTTTGTATAGTACTTCCCTATTCTTTACCGATTGTCGAGAAATTAATAATTTTCCTAACTTTTAACATAGTTTCAATTAAATCTTTATTATAGCCATATTTGAATGCGCACAGAGCTGAAATTTTGTCTAAAGTTTACGAAGATCTCACTTAATAGCTTTAGGTTGTTCATTCTGTAATATACAGACGCTCTCAAAACGTGTGAATATAACTGTGGAAACAAAAATAATGATTTTTTTCCAAATGAAAAATCCTATAATGCATATTTTATCAATTCGAAATAAAAGTAAGTTTTTGTAAAAATTGGCATATTTGCCTTAGGTAGCCATAAAATTGTCAATCAATTCGATTAAACATTATTATTATTAATACCTATATTGTGAAAGTGTCCAACAATAATAATAATAATAATTTAGGTTTCTTTATCATTAGTCGAAGGGGATGAAGAAATAAACACAAATACTTTGTGGCAAATTAAACAAAACAATATTTTCTCTTATTTGCACTGCACCTCGTACAACAACTTCGTCGGAACTTCGTATATGGACAATAATAATTATTCTATGATCGGTCTTTCGTCTTTTTAAAGAAAAAGAGTAAGCGACAGGGCTTTCCGCGTTACCCACGTCTTTTTCGTCTAACTAATACCTAATGCCCGTGGTCAAGCGTCGTGACCTACTTTTTTTTCGTCGCCAGGCATCAAAAACTAGTCCCGAACTCCAGGCAAAACGCCTTCCTTTTCATTTCGGCTCGCGTCCTTTTAAAGAAATAGTGTAAACATAGCATTCTATAATGCCATGTAGAAATAAGTAACAAAGAAATATCGTGCCGGCGAAAACTAAAAAAATGGATATTATATTTTATCTACAATAATAAGTTTTATTGTCTAACAGATATAACATCCAACGACAAGACAATTATTTTCCTAGACATCCAGGTCAAATGAAAATTCCGAATACCGCCAATGTATCAATAAACAATAGTAAAAACCAATCCAACCAAAACCAACCATATAAAAAATATATAAAAAAATCAAAACTCAAAAGAAATAACGGTATCTACAACCTGAACGTAAAAATTCATCTTTTATTGCAAAAGTAAACTGAGTCGGTATTAGATCATCTATATCTACATCTATATCACTACAAATACAATTAAACATATCCATCGTTTGAAAGAATGGACTTCTAACTAAAAAGTTTGTGAATGGAGTTGGAAAGTGGAATATTGGAATATAGTGTGTTTTGAGTGCCCGCGAAGAAACGTGAAAACCGATCTGCGATAAGATTTCAGAGCAAGAGATCTACATAATTTAAATAAAAATTGGACTGACCCATAGTTCCGATGATTAATTAAGTCCGCTACTTGGAATCGCCTTAAGAGAACACTATGATTAAAAAATATACCATCACACTTAAATGCTAGAAATTTTAAAAATTTTCTTTGAACTTTTTCTAACTGAATAATATATTTGTAGTAGTGTATTAGAGTGCCTTTAGTGCCTGTTCGCTTGTAAACTCCTAGCATTCCGAAATGTGAATCCCAACATTTTCAACGCATTATTATTGAAAGCTAAGTGTCAAATAAAACTCCCAAATCTTTGGAGACATCACTTCGTTTTAATTTCATATTGCCTAGAAAATAATCAAATGCAATACAAATGTTCGAAAAACTATCAGGAAAACATATTTTAATATTCAATGGCAATCTGTTGAGTTTATACCAAGAGTCAACAATTTGAAGATCCCTCTGAAGAACATGACAGTCAAAAACTTCGTAATAGAGGGAAATATTTATCGAAATCTCGATGAATACGTTTGTTTTTCACCGACAATGTGGATAATGCAGAAAGTTCAATGAAATATAGGCTAATTTAGAATCAATGAATGAGAAAATAATTTCGAATAATTATTTGCGTCATTTAAAAATGTATTTGCTGCGTCTCAGTCTCTATCAGTATGCTGAATATTATTGAATGGAATTTTATTTATATATATTTTTATATAATATTTTATTATTTGTTTTAAATTTGCAGGTTTATAGTGAATCTAATGTTGGTGACAGCGTCAAAGTGTGACATCGGATTTCATTTCAACCCCAGATTAGCTTTAAGGTAATAAACTGGGTAATAAACATGGCGAGATTTTGCTAAAGTAAGAATTTATGCAATATTTTAATATATATAAAAGTTAACTGAAATATGTAATTTCAACTTGATGTGTTGCCTTCATATACAGAATATTTCAAATTTTAATGCAAAGATTTGTCAGGCCTTCCATATAAACTTATTGTTTTCGATATCAAAGTTTTTGGGAAAAAAACGGTTTATTAATCTCAAAAATTTTTGTCAAAATTTGGCGTACTTATTTGTCATCAAAAGGGTCTTTACTTTGTGCAATTCAAATTAAATTGTATTCATTTCATATAGGTAAAATCAATAAATAAAAAAAAATTGCGTAGGTCGAATCATGGTTGAAGATTTTGCAATTTTTTGGATTAAGCAGTCGAAAATAAACCTTTTTATTTTTTATGTTTTTAGTGTCTGGCTATATTTGCGTTTTCATGCAAAAATTGAATAAATAAATTGTCTTTTTTATTGTCTAATTTACAAGAAATTTACAAGGAAAACGTTGGCGTACTATGATTCAATTCCCTGCTGGTTCGCTGTTAGAACAAGAAATTTACTTCTAGTTACAATGTCATATGTCCAGTTTTATGTAAATTATTTTCTTAGTTTTGTAGTAATTTTCAAAAAATCGATTTTTCGAAAGTCCAGGAGCAAGTGGGGCGACGGTTTTTAATTTTTATTGTGAAGAGGAAGTTAGATACAAAAAAATTAACAGAAAAGTTTCATTTTTGATTCCTTGATCTAAAAAAATTATTAAATCCTTAAAAAATCAGTGGCGGATATAAATAGTAATTAAATCGTCCTCTGGGACGACAATGCAATGAATAATTTCACAATAATAAAAATCTTTGACGACAAATAAGCGAATTCTGAAGTACCCTTATATTCTCACAGCCTCTTCCTAGAATATTCTGTTTCCTGTATTTAATTATTAAATTATTGATCATTTGAACAAACAAATAAGTAAATACGTAATTCATACTAACTCCAAGTTTATTATTGTTTGCGTATGGATGTCAATTGAATTTCCAGATACGTGGTGAGAAATTCTCGAATAAACAATATATGGGGAGAAGAAGAAACTACCTCCGTCGGAAAAGTAGAATTTTCGAGAAACGAACAATTTGAATTGAACATTGTGTGTACCGAGCGGGAATTTTTCGTATCCCTCGATGGCAAACACATTTGCGCTTTCGTTTACAGAATTCCACTGGAGAATATAAACAGGATACAAGGTGAGGTGTATAAATTGTGTACATATATCATATATTTTGGTGCTCGTCGAAATAAGACCTCACTTATTTTCGCCTCTTTTGAAGGTTTCGCATTGTTTGAATTTCGAAAAAGTAATGGGTCCGTTTTTTTAAATGCGTGTTTTTGGTTTATATACAATTTTTATTAGAAAGTAAAAAAGGCATCGTCTATATAATTATTATTTGTAATAGTAGTATTAAAAAAATGATTCTTTAAATAAATACAATAAAGTTTTCAAAATAAATACTAATTATCTGAGATGCTATGGTTCTATAAATATTCTAGACTCGGATTAGATATGACATTGAATTGCAGGCAATTTTCGAAAAACGTAAAAAAAAATTATTTTGTTTTTATATGTTGTTACCTTTTTATTTATATTGTACTTTGTGTGCTACTAAAATTATACTAGGCAAAAAAAAAATAGTACCGGATTTTTTTATATTTTCGTTTATAGAAAAATTGTAAACACAAATGGGGGTTGTAATATGCTCATTAAGTCTCTAATATTATTCTTTCATTCCAGGCATAACATTATCATAAAATTTGTTTGGGTATTTTATATTGAAACTTCATACTTTTTGAGATTTTCTGAACTTTAAAAGATACGTTTCGCCCAAAACTTTATTGTCCATGTCTCTCTAAATAAATGAAATAAGACAGGTTCACCAAGTTATTTGATAAATTTCGACGTCCTAATTAAATTATTTTTCTGAAGGACTAATGATTAAAAAATGATTACAAGTTTACGGGATTCTGCATATTTTACAAAATGCAAGTGTAAATTAAATTAAATTTTAAATTATAATACTCTATGTATTTTATTGTGATAATAAAAAGAACCACTCATTCTTAATCTGAAAATATTATAACATTGAAGAGTTTTGGAGTTAAAAACAAAACACTAGTTTAAGCAAATATGACTGTTTCTCTGTTCCAAACAATAATGCAGCCGACAAGTGAAACACAACGTATATGCAATGAGGGCGTTATATTTTTAGTATTGTACGGCCTTATGTTGTGCTTTTAGGGCCTCATATTACGAGTTGTTTTGTTTTTAGTGGAGGGCCCGGTCGACGTTAACGAAATCGAATATAAACAAGTCGAAGTTTACCCGGAACCTTCCCCTCACATCGTTCCTTTTAGTGTTCCCACGGGGAGCTGCGATAATACAGTGGCAGATCAACAACTGGTAATGGCCATTTACGTTTTTAAAGTTTTGGTAAAATCGGTTTTATCGGGGGGTATAAAACGTAACGGCAGTTTGCGCGGTCGTATATTTTAAAAGTTTGCGAAATTTATCTGGGCTAATGACATTGTTTATGCCAGAAAATGTCGGACGCGAGGCCAATCGGGAATAGTCGGTGTTCTAGGTAGTTTCGGGGATTTAAACGGCGATTTATACTGCGTTTTGTTTACACCCCACCCCCCTGCCGGACTTTTTTTATTGTCCTTCGAATTGTCCAAATCGAATTAAACCCGATAATAACTATAACTATAAATATATAGTCTATTTCAGAAAGGTGCAGAGTGATAAAACATTATTAGGTATGCAAAGGGCTACAACGATCCAACGAATACTCAAGTTACTTTCATTGTTTGGCAATGATTTCATTGTAAAATTATGTCTTTATATCTAGTGCAAGTTGTAATGACTTTAGACTTTATTGGTCATTAAATACATTATAAGAACAACAAATGCAAAGTCAGAACTGTGAATGATAATGAATTAACGCAAGGTCAAACAGATATTCCAATAACAATTCCAATTTATACTGTTTAGACATTTATGACGCAACACGGATATATTCATCTGCAGAGTAGATTGCATTCTGCAATAGAAATTGTTTTATTTTACAGACTTCAGTATATTATAGGTCCTTAACAACAGTTGGTAGAACATTGTAATAATTAATCTGAAATTTACTTAACTTGGATGAGCGCAGTCTAGAATGACTCTGGACCATTCAGATCCCCAGTTGTAGAGATTGTGGCGATCACAGTGCTTAGGTATATCGTTCTTTAGCTCGACTGACTATATAGTAAATAAATAGTGATGTCAAGGTCAAAATATTAACCTTTAAGAAGAACGGTCGATAGTGGTCACGAGGTTTTGCATTCTCAATCACACGTATCGATCTTTTTTGCATAAGGAAAGCCATGCACGGAACCACTAAGTCGGGATGCAACAATATGAAATAAGCAAGTGGGGACATGACAGGAATGAGTTTGCAACCAAGGCGTTCAATGTAATCTTTCCAAGGAAGTCTACACGAAAATCAGATGGTTCGATTTAGTTTCGTTTACGCTGTAAGGAGTTGGAGCTGAACCATCCAAGCGCTCTAGTCTTTTTGATCACACTATCATCCCGAAATGCATAGTTCTACATAGTATGTGGGAAGGCAAATCGTTGATATAGACTATCAACAGCAAGGATCCAGGGATCGGGTCCTGAGGCACTCCAGACGATACCGGCAAGCTAGAACTACTGAATCTTCCATTCACATCGGAGCGGCATGTCCCTGATGCCATACCACTCGAGTTTCTGCATCAGCACTCCATGATCCACACAATCACAATCTTTGTGAGGTCGCAAAAGGTGGCCTTTGCCACCTCACCAGCGCCAAAGCTCTCGACAATGCTCCCAACAAGACTCAGCATAGCGCGCCTGGTGGACATTACACTCCTAAAACCCAACTGTTCACGGTGCAATAGTTTGTGCCTGTCAAACTGGTTCAGTAAACGATCTCTTAAATTTTTCTCGACGATCTTACCAATTATAGAGATGATTGCAATAGCAATAACATTTGATTAATTAGATGAGCTACGGGGTTAGTTAAAAAAAAATTGCGGTATGTTTAAGAATTTTCGATTTTCGGTTGTAAACGTCTGTAGAACTAGAATTACTCAAATGTTCTAGGTTAACTCACTAGAAACCGGATCCAGCAAAAACTACCCCGTTAGGCTCGATAACCTTCTCATATAGAGCATCGGATCATTTTCTTTTATTTCCGTAGTGGCAAACGGTTTAACAGGATTTTCTTGCCACTTAATAAGTTTTCAGCAGCTCCAACCAATATTGTCAGAGTTGTTAACAAACTGACCATAAGCTGCAGCTTTTGTCTACTGAACTTTTTGCAGCGTTTATTTAAATTTTTATACTCCTGCCAATGATCCGAACTACCCGAAGCTTTGGCCGTCGCCTTTACGTGTAAGGGCTCATCATACAGGCACCTTAGATCGTTGTTGCACCAGTAAATTAGTCTCGAACTTGTCGATTTAACTTGTTTTGTTTTAATGATATGGTGACTTACATTACTTGTTAGAAAATTTAACAAATATTCTACCGTATCAGATCGGCTTACTGTCAAGGAAGGACCACTTGCTGACACGGTCTTAATTACCTACGCGTATGGCCAACACCGAAATTGAGCGGAACCAGGCGAAATTTTCTATTTTATTACTCTACATTTGCCTGAAATAGTTTACAGGCGTTTGGCAATTCATGTAATCGTAAAAAGTAAAATATTACGGGGTCAATTTGCTCGTTTAACGAGCAAGACCAAAATGAATCCAAATTCTAGAATGGGCAACATCAATGATATGCAAGGATTCTGCCATACTATAGCATCCCAACATTCATTTGTCACGGAACCAGACAAATCGCATACGTATATATATTCGTCAGTCTTTGTTTCATTATTTTTTATTAATTTCTGCCCATATGTCGCGTGATTGGAACTTCCGCTACAACCCCTTATACATTTTGCTATTTCTTAATGAAGTAGTCAATTTCAGTTCTTTCCGAACTTCAATAATTGTTTGGACAGTATGATCGACGAGACCTTGTAACGTTAATTCGACAGAAGCGTCTGTTACTAAATGACTCATCGGCGTAGCATTTCATTTTAGCTTCTCGTAATACATGATATGCTGGGTATATATTTGCGTGTCGACTTTTTGCAGCGGAAGTACGTAAGAATTTTTCGTATATCGGATAGGCTTCATTCGGAGTATATGGCACTGGGTATATTAGGGGGCTGAATAAAGCTTTTTTCATTTTAGCGGCCTTGGTCTGTGGAGAAGATAAATCTTGTAGAACTGCAGCAGCATTGCGCTTACCAGACTTATACAAACCTACACGTGTAGCAAGCATTGATTCTTCCGTTGTATTTAGCTCGACGAGAGGACTTACTTTGAAAAGTTTCTTTCTTGTTTGCTTAAGTCAGTGAAATTTTTTGAAGGTCGCCCAAGTTTCGATGGTCGAGCAATATCTGTCAAATTTTTTTCGTTATTGCATTTAGCCAATCCGACAGAAATTTGAAAAAAGTAAATATTATTTAAACAAGCACATACCTAATCGTTAATAAGTTAAGAAAGAAAGTTTTGAACCATTACTTACGCAAAGCCCAAGTTATAATTCGCGAAGTTTTATATATATTTTCTTCGATTATTTGACAGTTAATCGTTTTTATTTGAGTGACGTTAAGTAGGCTGATTATTTCAAGTTAATTGTCACATATATAGGTAAGTGAACCGGTCGAATCTTTGTGTTTCTGGACTCTAAATTACCCTAATAACACATTGTGCGTCGGTGCTAATTTATTTTTTGTCAAAAGTTATGTTTGTTAGTGGAATATTTATATTGGAGGTTTCAGAGTTAAAACGCAATAAGTCTACGCGAGACTACTTACGGCAATATATCGAAAAAAAGTCATAAGAACATTTGTATTGTATAGGTTAGAAACTAAATTTTTCAGAAAAGTCAGTATTTTATGTGTATATTTCCACATCTTTTATAAAGAGGAGTTTCTTGTTCACTTCGCCCACCCTGTTACATTGTTTTAACTGAACTGTTAATTGGTTGTCCAGACACAGCGTCACTCCAGAATAAATCAGTATATCCCAACTATCGGACGCTTAAGGAAATAGTTAAACTTAGGATAACGCGGAAAATAAGTTTTTGCCCTTGAAGATTACTTCTTGATATATATTATTTATAATTATTATTTAAAACGTGAAAATGTTTTCTTAAATAAGCGTATATTAACAACATACATAAATAAATAACAAAATTAACATTTCTGGATCAAACTTAAAGAAAATATGTGCACATATAGGTATATGAAACACACTAATTCTAATTTTTAATTGCTGTTTCGTATCAATAACAAAATTAACAAGTTATACTCTATTAATACTAATTTTTGAAAACTATAATTATGACTTATTCTTCGTTTATTATTTTTAATTGCAAAATATCATATAGATACTTTGGCCTAATTTTACCGCGTAAGTACAAAATCTATACATTTTTACGTGGTCCTGCAAATTAAATGAGCCCTTATTATATTTGCTGTTGCTTGAATATATTTAAGAAATATAATTGCCCATTTATCGGACTATCTTTTTTTCTTCAATTTGATACGAAAATATAATATTAGTTACCCCAAAAATATATAATTATATATGTTTAAAGTAGCTACTAAATAAAATAGCAAGTGTCGCTTACCGGTTTTTGCTAACGGTATTTATTTAACTTCTAGGGCGGCATACGAGCGACTAATTTAATGCAATTTTGTAGAGTTTATAATATCCGGTGTGGATCGCAGCGTTTCCAAGCCTTTGAAGAATTAACTGTACCATATTTTATTATATATTTAGTACCTCTGCTAAAATGTTCTTATAGCAATAATAATTAAAATTTTTCCGATACACGACGCATGCTCGACAGGTGGGATGTTCAATTTAAAATTTGATACAATAAATAAATATTGATAATTAATTTCTGAATAAAAAAGTGTTGCGTGTTGGTTATTTGCACCCTGTATCTATTTGTAACTTTGCGCAGGTATTTTATATTGAAATTTTTTTTACACGCGCGTACACCAACAGAATGTAAAAGGCTTTAATTTCCTGCAGCTCTTGTTTGTAATTATTTGTTCAAACGGCGGACCTATGCGTTGTCGCAATTCACGTTGTGCGTTAACTCATTTATCCAATTTAGTTAATTCCGGAATTTTGCCATTAAAGCAAATAGACGAGTGCTAAAAAAATTAATTAAAAAGCCCTCTATTTTTTCGATTCAACGTCGCTTTAATTAAAATGATTTAAAATCAAAAGCGCCAATCTATTTTTTTGCGAATCCGCGCGGAAACGATTTGGCATTACAGTCGTTGGTTTCGTACTGTGGTTTGGTTCCTATTTAGGACTAAAACCAATAATGAAATTACATTTCGTCCCAATGTTAAAATCAGCCCATTTTGCTCTAAAAAACGAGCCCTAGTTTGCAAAGTTATATGAAATGGAAATTAAGAAATGTATAACCTAATATTTTGCGCAATTTGTTAAAATAACAAAAATAAACTCCATTTTAACAGTATTTTTCCACCACTTATACTAATAATTTGTGGAAACAAATGCTTTTCTCAGCTGACAATTTTTATTGTAATTTTTTTCCCAAAGTGTGTACGACAAATATTTTATCACCCAATACTTATTCGATTCTACAGGGTGCAACACTAAAAAGTTTATATAAATGTAATACTGCAAAATTCAATAGTTGATGTATCTAATTTTCCAATCTAAATTTCCAATTAATCCTATAAGATTTCCGTGGCCAGCCATTTGTATTTGGATTTGAAAAAGGGATGCGTTTCTATTTTTTATTTTCATACATTATATATATATATATATATATATATATATATATATATATATATATATATATATATATATATATATATATATATATATATATATATATATATATATATATATATATATATATATATATATCTATGTTGCACAAAATAACTAGGGGATCGCCCTCACATGACGTGGGGGGGAGGGTCCTGTAGTGTAGGCCTCACAGAATAAAAGTTTATTAATTACCCTGATAGGATATTTATTGTCTACAAGAAGATTTCTCAATAACAGTAAGTTAGGGCGCATCAAAGAACGGTGACAGATCTTTTTAATTCGATTTTTTAAACCCAAAACAGCATTAATTTTTTGGTTCATGGGGTGGTAGGAAGAGAAGGAGATATATCTACCAGAGCTGGATACTTTACGATACCAACGACGGAATCTGCTCGTTCGGTGCCTTTCATTATTTTAGATTGGTATCGTAAAGCATCCAGCTCTGGTATCTACCAGAGAGAACGGTAACAGACCGATCTTTTTATATCGATTTTTTAAACCCCCTTTATATCCCCTTCTCTTCCTACCATCCCATGAACCAAAAAATTAATGCTGTTTTGGGTTTAAAAAATCGAATTAAAAAGATCGATCTGTCACCGTTCTTTGATACTTACTGTTATTGAGAAATCTTCTTCTAGACAATAAATATCCTATCAGGTTAATTAATAAACTTTTATTCTGCGAGGCCTACACTACAGGACCCTCCCCCCCCTCATGTGCAGGAGGATCGGCCGACCAATTTAGAAGTTAAATTTGGTAAGCTCATGTACATTAACAAATTGACGCTATCACTGGTCCGGCCCTTTCAACCTTCAAATATTAAGATCGCAAATTATAATGTTAGGACGCTCAGATTCTATTCTCAACTAAAAGACACAACGCCAATAAATAAAAAGTCCAATGTTGTTTATGGTCTTCAATGCGAATGCGAGAAACTTTACGTAGGGCAAACATCCCAAATTAAAAAAAAAAAGAATTACAGGATGTAAAAGTCACTATAAACATAAGCCCAAGATTACTAGCCTCAGTTCCCATGTGAATGACCATGACCACCAAGTGGTGTACAACAATCCTTATATTCTAGATACGGAAAAAATGGCTATAAACGTAGGTTCCTAGAAACGTGTTATATTAATCAGTGTGCCAACTGTATTAACCATAAAAGAGAACATTTACAAAAAAAAACTGAAACACCCAGATTGCTATTCAAGAAACGTCCTGTAGTGTTGGTTTAGATGTAAAATTTTGTGGGTCTGTTATCTAGCCGAATACTGAAATTATTGTCTTCAACGTGGTTAAATGTAAGTTCGATGTTAATGGTCGCTGGTGGGTTTTTTGCCTTGTATTCTTTGGTTTTGTAACGTGGTGATTCTTTGGTCTATCAAGTTTTCTTTATATGTGCCTGACCATTTTCCCAACTGTCAAGATGTCTGTTTTTGTTTTTAAATGCCGTTGGCGGATTATCTCCGGCAGAATCGAATTGGGTTGCATTTTTGTTGTGTCTTTGTCGGTTCCAGTTATTTTACTTATTAATTAATGACTAGTTGTCTAGGCATAAGTTTCCTTTGTTTTACTATTTTAATCTGTGCAGCCTATACTAATGGCTAACACGTGGTTCTCTGTGTGTGCAATGAGTACTGTGCCTCCTCTGCTGTTAGAGTTTAATTGATGTATGTATTGACGAGCCCAGTGTGTTTTTCTTGTTTTTGTAATAGAGTGTTTTCCTTTTACATTTTAGTGTCCTGAGGAAGCCTGAATACTTGGGCGAAAGCTTGACTTAACAATAAAAAGCCACTATTCAATGAGCATTTACATCTTTTATTGCTCCCTCTATATTAGTCAATATGGGGCGATTCCATAGTTAGTAGCCCGTTAGTCCTTACACTTTATATACATATATAATAGCTGACAAAAAATGCGTTCTATAAATAGCAAAGGTGGGTGCTACTTCCTCCGTTACATAAAACCTAAAAAATATACATTTGAGTAAATGTATATTGCCAGGATACCACCTTGTATTGTATTATGTACGGATGCCAACAGAGACGCCAGATAAATATATATATATATATATATATATATATATATATATATATATATATATATATATATATATATATATATATATATATATATATATATATATATATATATATATATATATATATATATATATATATATATATATATATATATGTATATATATATATATATATATATATATATATATATATATATATATATATATATATATATATATATATATATATATATATATATATATATATATATATATATATATATATATATATATATATATATATATACTCGAAATAATTTTTGTGTTTTATATATTTTTGAAATATTTACGGGGTATTCTATGAAAAACACAAGTTCTGTTTGATATAATGAAATTTGTGATTGCGTAAGTGTCTAAAAACACGTGTTTAGTGATCACCCTGTATCTAGCTATGAAATTTCTGGTTGTGCGCTCTTTCAAGTTGCACCAAGTTGCAATGCTGTAAAATCATCAAAAGGGGACATACTAAGTTACCCTCTCTTTGAGACACCCGTTATATATTTTCTTTCGCCTTTCTTTCATTTCAGGAAATACCGATAACGGCCAATCTGGATCTCGGTTTCAAGTGCGGCTGGCAGCTGGAAATTTCCGGAAGAGTTAAAATCCTGCCGTCTTCGTTTTATATTAATCTACAGGAGGGACGACATTTATGGCCGCATCCCGTAATCCCGTTGCATTTAAACCCTCGATTTTGTAAGTGCGAACGTTTGCGGGTAGGCGGCGGGTTTGCGACGTGCGTTTTCTTTTTTATCCAGATACTTCTTACGGAAACCATTTGTTTGTGCGGAACAGCTGGACGAACGGAGATTGGGGCGCCGAGGAGCGGACTCCGGGTTTCCAGTTTACTCCTGGGTCCCCGTTTAATGTGGCAATAAGGAAAATGGACGATCATTTTTCCGTATGGGTGGACGGCAACCTGGCTGGCGAATTTAACTTTCGAACCCCAGTCGACAATATCGATACCGTTTTTATACACGGCGACGTTCAAGTGTTCAGCGTTTACTTAAAGGACCACGTGGACGATAAATACTTTTCGAAGAGTAGAGAGAAGATACATTGTTTGTAACTACAAAATATTTGTCAATGTTCACGCTTTATTCTTCCGGAGATGCTTTTACCGATGTACAATAATTATCGTTTTTAAGCCAATAAACACAGCTATAATAGTAGTGTAGTGTATTTAATCTACAAGAGTGGAGTGGCAATAGTAGTTATAATATTAAGTGAAATTTATTATTTAAAATAAATGAATACCAAATGAAATAGGGAAACAGAATTAAAAAAGAAGAAAAAAATAATACTAGAAAATAGTAGAAACAAAAGAAAAATTGACGGTGATGAGGTGTAATTTTTACACTTAACCCGAAGAAACTTATAAAAATCAGTGGCTATAATTATCGTAAGGTTAACTATAACTGGAATATAGAAAAAAATAGAAAACAATTTTTTACTGAGGAAAGGAAAACATGATTAAAAAATTGAGACGTATTACATTGTAGCATGAAAACTGCAAACGGAAACAATTCTTTTAATTTAATTTAATAAATCCCGGGTGTGAGATGGTCTGACCGTCGAAACGAACGCATCACTTATATTTGGAAGGGCAATACAAAAATTAAAAAGTGCCTGTAGGTGTAAAACTCCGCGGGTGCAAAGAATCAACAACCTCTTCCAGGGATCAAGCTAGGCCGCGTCTTTTCGGAGTCGTCATTATTAAACATTATTAAAAGGAAAATCAAAAATAGGAACCAGCTCACATACATTCCACTCATATATCCGCACATATATATTAGGTATGCCAAAAAAATCGTGCAAAATGAAGAAAAATAAAAGGGGAGAAGGACACCCCTAATAATAATAACAGCGAAATTTAATTGGATAAAAAAGCTTACAAGCAAAGAAAAAATATGTAAAAAGAAACATTACAAATTAACTGACAAAATGTCTAAATAGCGAGGTAACGCTATTTTACTTAGATGTCTGGTCTCTGTTGTTTTTGTTTGAAGGTAATTGAGGAGGTGACTGATCTTAGTTGTAGAGTGTGATTATCGAAAGATTTGATGGCGTCGTAGTTAAAGTAGCGTTTAAATTGAGAAATGAATTATGCTTGGGTGAACTGAATTGAATAAATATCTGTGCTACGAATAAGTTTCTCAAATAAGTATATCGGCCTTTGGAGAGTGATTTTTTTTGTTGTTAAAACTAAAGCTGCGATTTAAACCGTTCATCTAATATGATCAAAATTACGAACATTATAAAAAATCCGAGACAGCTATTTTCAAGACGTAGTCGCCTTGAATTAAAGCAGGCCTACTAATTAGAATATGAAATATTCGACAATATTCAAGAATCGGCCAGTTTTAATTAACACACCTTTGGAGAAGTTTATAGAACGACGTTTCCGGTGAAACTGCTACGTGTCCTTCAAAACGATGATTATTACCAAAAAGTACCCCTAAAGTTTTACAGCCAGCAGAAGCAATCTTACAAATTTATCTTTTGCGTCCCATTTTCATTTATTAAAGGGCCATACATACTTACTTGAAATATCTGAATACTATTTATCTCATCAATTACTCTTATAATATTGAAATTGAATATTGAATATATTTGGATATCGGCTGCTAATCATTTTACGGGAATCGGAAGTATGAACAGAAAACAACTTGTGGTCTAAAATACTACCTGATGCCATTCAGAATAATTGTTATAACGCATTCTCTGATACCGACACCGAACAAAAAAAAGTCCGCAGCTCTGGCCCGCCTCTGTTTTCCCTATTATATGAGTCTATTTATTGCAGCTTCGTGGAGCGACCGAAAGTCCACTGGTGGATATTTCTGAGCCAAGACAACTTTTTCCTTCGGATGCCTCTTCTTTCATCTTCAATCTTTCCCTGTAGTATAAGGCGTTGAAAGTCATATCGCTCTCCCCGTATAATGTGCCCCAGGTAAGAGATCTTTCGTTTTTTAATATGTTCGAAGAGTTCTCGGTCTTTCAATCTAGCCATCCTGAGCACATCCTCATTTCTGATCCATTCCGTCCACGGTATGTTTAGCATCCATCTCAGAGTCCACATTTCGAACGCTTCAATGCGGTGGTTAGAAATAGCTTTAGTCGTCCACGCTTCCGCTCCGTACAGGACACTTAACCTTTCGGTACCTGATTTGAAATTTAGATTCCGGTTGGTGAGGATTTTTTTTAATTTTAGAAAAGTTGTTGTTGCTTGTTCTATCTGACATCTAATTTCAAGTTCTGGATTGCACTGGTCGTCCACCGTACATCCCAAATGTTCAAACTTATTGACCCTCTCTATTTGCTCTCTATTGAGCTGAAGATATAGGCTTGGCAAGACATCTCTAGATATAACCATAAACTTCTTTTTGTTGGTGCCAATTGTTATTCCCCTCTGTTGGCTTTCGTTTTTAGTAGGGTTTGCAGATCGTTGGCATTATCGGCTAGTATTGCGGTGTCGTCAGCGTAGCATATATTATTAATTGGGATAGCATTACCTGTAATACCCTTGGGTCTTTCAGATATTATCTCAGCAAAAGCTATCTCCACATAGAGATTGAAAAGCATCGGGGATAGAATGCAGCCCTGCCTGACACCCTTCTTTATTTCAAATTCCTTTGTTGTTGCAGAGTTTTGAAGACGTATTTCAGTCACCTGGTGCCAATATAGATTAACAATCAGTCTTAAGTCTTTGTCGTCCAATCCAAGTTCTTGTCCAAGTTCATGTCTTACATTATCAAAAGCCTTTTCGTAGTCAATGAAACATACGAAGGCGTTCTTTCTTTGGTCAAAGCAATTTTGCACCAATGACTGACTGAACCCGCTGACCTCTTCGTATTTTCTGTAAAGTCTTGAGTGCATGATTCGAAGAAGCAGTTTTAAAAAATGACTCATTAAGGTAATGAGCTGCTAGTCTTTACATCTTTGTGCGTTATTTGATTTTGGTACGGTTATAAATGTGCAACGAAGCCATGCTGTGGGGATTTTCCAGTCTTATTAGAAAATCTTATAGGTGGAAGCTTTCTGATAGCATGTTTTCTGATCCTGGAGCTTTACCATTGTTTGACAGTTTTATGGCATTAAGAATTTCACTGTATGATCTCTGATTATTATAAAGTTCAGTTGCATAGGTTTTCCACGTTTCCAGCAGTTTTTCGGGCTCTAAGGTGTTCGGCTTCCATACGTCGGTCCGCAAGCCACTTCTCCTAATCTTCTAGGTGGGAGTCGGTACCAAGTATTTGTGATGACCAGATTGTTCTCCTCGCAGAATTGAATGAGTCTTCCGCCCCATGTTGTTCCTTTCTCCGAGACCCCAGTGACCTACATTACCTTCCACTCTTCTCTTGCTGACCTTTGCATTCAAGTCTCCCAATATGGATTTCGTTAGCTTGATTGCCTGCTCCATCTGCCCGTAAAATTGTTCAACTTCATTGTCAGGTTTTTCTGAAGTGGCAGCATATACCTGAATTATGTTAATGTCTATCGGCCCTGCGCAAAGTCGCAAAAGAGTAACAGGGGCAAAATCCTTAACCAATTTTTGTAGGCTTTCTTCTATTATAATGCCTACACCATGACGATGCTTTTTACCTATGTCGTCAGTACCACTATAATAAAATACCTTGTCCTTGGACCGCGTCACTCCGCTATTTGGCCATCGTACCTCGCTGACTTCCAGTATACTGACCCTCAATCTCTCTATTTCCTGTATCAAGTTGTTGAGATTCTCATCTGTAAACAATGTTCGCAAGTTCCAGCCTGCAATTTTGATATTGTTGTCTGTCGGAACCGGGAGATTCTTCGCACCTCCTGCCCGGGACTGGAGGCCGTTTTTGGATATCCTGGGGAGAGTTAATGCGGTGTTTTCTCTCTTGCTTTCCGCATCGCAGTTCCATGGCCGTTGAACTGTCACAGTCTTGCCTATGGAACTCCACTTTCCAACGGGTCCGGAATCCTTTCTTTGCGCTTGGAAGTCGTCCGCCCCGGGTATTTCATTTCCCCGGTACCACCTATATCTGGGAGGCTTCCCACTATCCGCCACACGGGGAGGCGCCCGATGGAGGCCTAGCAACCCCACACGATATATGTCGGCATAAACTTTTAAGAAAGCCGTATTTGTGCTATGGTCTGGAAATGAGAAGGATCTTCGCTGTTCAGTGTTCTTAGAGACAGGAATGATGTTAGCATATTTCGACCTGCAATAACATCTTCCTATCAATCCCATTGGTCCCCATGTTTTAAATAAATTTTTCAACTATGTCGGTGTTCGCAGTGGTGAATCTAAACGTGTCCGGATCCACGGAGCATAGAAAAGGTTTGCTAGCGTAGTGCTCATTAATAAAACTATTATTTGAGTTTACTCGAGGGATGTTATAAAAATAGTCTTTATGTTCTTAGCATCTGTAATATTTTAGAAAGTGGTTGTTCGAGAGTCAAGGTAAACATTAAGGTATCTGAGCAGACGCCAGAATTTCATTGGATTAGTTTGAAATTTTTGTTGGGGAAGGCGCTTCTCTGAATTAATAACCGTACTTACAAGATTTCTTATTTCCTTAAATTCAATTAAACATTGCTCAGTTGTGAATATATTATATTGAGACAGCTCTCGAAGTTTCAATTTAATCATAATTTCCAGGTTGTCAGTTAGCCAGTTTAGCAATTCGCACACTTTTTAACGGGGCAATCAACCATTCCATCAGCATCAGATAGCAGGGATATCCTATTCCGGTCAATGTTGTTTAAATCAAACAAGAAATGTTCAAAGTTCAAATTAGAAAAGCGCCTACAAATTTTGAAAAACGGTTTGAGTTCCGATTTGGGTATCTTTAACTTAACTTTAATTCTACCCTAAAAACACCGGGTTCTGCCGCAATAGTAGGAGCAATAAGAGTTTCGCTAGTCTGGTAGGTTTACGAATAAGTTTAAAAGAGGCCATTTTTAATTAACAAATTAGAAAAAGTAACCGAACCGTTACTCGAGTTGTGGCCTAGAAGACGTTAAAATCTCCGCCAAATCTGCATTCAGACATTCAGATCTGAGCACGGAGTAAAGAGCTGTTTAAGCTCACGCCAAGTTTCAGATAGTCCATTAACATCTAGTGACAAACAGTAAGTGTTGACGCGAAATGACATTACTCATGAGATCAAAATACCATTTTTACAGTTGCCTTCAATC